TAAGCTAGAAAAAAGAAGAAAATGGTTGCTGAAAAAAAGGATTCCAATGGTCAAATAAGATCACAGGATAGACAGACATAATTCTCCATTGCGAAACAGTTGATTAAAATTGGTCAGCATTTGTAGTGTTATACAAAGGCCTACAAGCACGTATACTAATGCTTATTGAAGCACTGCTTATGCGGAAGTTGAAACCCCCTTTATGTGTTCAAAAACAATTTTTCCTTACACAACCTACTCTGGTAATACTGATTCATTATCCAGAGTGGTAATCACATTTGTTTTTATGCACTTTAATTTCATTATTTTTTCTTTGTTATGGCTTACCTTTAACCGGTCTAGTTGACCTTTTTAATTTTCATATATAAAAATTCTTAAAAAGTATATGTGTGATCAGATTTTTCGAAATGTATTGCGCAAATCTATCATCACGTAATTCTGATAAACTTCGTCTTCTCATTGCATTATTGAAACTTGCCAAAGGGACTAATTGTTTCAAATCTCTGAAAAGAAGACTCACGACGCAAATTATTAAAAGGTTAGATGAATTTGTTAACCTCAAGTGCAAAATTATATCAGAACGAGTGAAACTGGGTTTTTATAAATCTTGTTTATCTAATCAAATATTTCCGAATCAGTTATATAAGAATCTTCGTTTAAGTAAATTACAACCAAATATTGCAAATCTTATTTGACTGACGAAATCGTATATAGACAAATGCCATGATAAGTTGCTCATTTTAATTGAACTTCATACTCAAGCATCACCTGTATTAACAGAATTGTCTATAGTTTGCCATATCAAATTCATCAATTTTTGTAGTAATGTCATTTTGAAAACAAAAGAAAGGATAAGAAAAAAGCTGGAAAAACATTGCTATAGTAAGAATAATCATCTCACTTCCTTCCCAATCAATCCTGATAAATATGTCACTAATTTGTACTTCATTGTATTATCTGTTCATAAGATGAAGGCACTTTCTCTGGATTTAAATTTTTCTGTTCCTATAGCACAAATCTCTGAATTGACAATCAGTGCTCGTTTTGAAAACTCTATGATCAGTTGAATACTTTAGCCCCTTCGTCCTTAGAGAATTAAAGTTGGTTTGAGGTCAAACTAGTGGATATAGCACAACCGTTTCATTCTTCTGGAGGAAAGCAGAGGAGTATAGTAACTCCTCATCATTTAAACCCCATAGAGGACCTGGTATTGTTATTATGAATAAGTTCGATTACAAAAATAAAATGGAATCCATTCTCATTGATAAGAGCAAATTTATTTCTGATGTTGACTCCGATGGATTATGTAAATTAGAAAAGAAAGTAAACTCATATCTTGTTAAATTGTTAAACATGAATGCTATTAACGAGTATGATTTTAATTTGTTAAAACCTATGGGTTCGTCGTATCCTGATTTATATTGATTGCCAAAACTTCATAAGCCTAACACCCCTCTACGTCCTATTCTATCAATGTGTCAGTCACCCACATACAACCTTGCGAAATGGTCTACAAAAGTATTAAACTCTGTCCGAAATCAATACTGTAAGTATTCCTTGACTGACTCATTTGAATTAATTAGGTACTTAAAGGACATAAATATAGAGACAAAGACAATGTGCTCCTTTGATATGAATACTTTATTTACAAATGTACCTCCCAGGAAATCTATTGATATTTTGTGTGACTATATCTTTTTGAGTAACCTTCCACTGCCATTTCCTGTTAACAGTTAAAGATTTATTATTATTGTGTACAGATAATGTCAACTTCACTTTTGAAGGTGAGCACTTCCGACAAGTAGATGGTGTAGCTGCGGGTAGCCCTTTAGGACCATTGCTGGCTGATGTGTTCACGGTATATGTTGAAAATTTAGTTGAAGACTCAATTCGAAAGATGGGTCTGTATAAACGGTATGTTGATGATATAATAATCATAGGTGATAAAGGTGAGGACATAAACGCTTGTTAGAAGAATCCAATACGTGTAGGTGTTTAAGGGAATGTCCAGAAGTGTTTAAGATGCTGTAAATCATTAGGAGATCTCCTCTAGGATGCCTGTAGTCTAATCGGGAAAAATTGAGTGATTAGAGGCGCTCTTCACCAGACTTGAACCTGATTCCGCGAACTGATTTCATGGTTCTCCGTTGGATATTTTACAGAATGTCCTTATTCTTATGGAGTGAGGGAGGAAACACTATGTTTCCGTACTCTAAGTGAGGACAAATAAAACTATTGAAGATTATGTGGAAAGTTCTTCCATCAAACTGGCCAAAAATGCGCTTCAATGTTACCGGGGCAAGGTTGGCTCGAAAGGCATTTTTGTGGCAGTTAGCCTAAGACTTTAAATCATAGAGTACCAGGACTCCTAAATCTTTTACAACTTCGGATACTTCTAGACGGGAGTTGCCTAAGTTGTAGCTGTAGTCTGCAACACGTCTCAGACGGACCACTTTACACTTTGAAGTGTTAAAGGTAAGTCCGTTGTCATCTGCCCAACTTTGAAGTCCAGTCAGATCCTCCTGAGATGCCAGCTTTTCCTCTTGGTTGCGTATTTCTCTCCAAAGTTTCGCATCATCAATAAGAAGCTATAAGTCTGACGATACCTGTTGTGGAAGATCGTTTATGTAAATCAACCAAAAAAAGTCCTAGTACTGAACCCTGTAAGACCCTACTAGGACATCCCACATCCTGAGAGGAATCGAAGTTAGCCCTGATCTTCAAATGTCGATTTTTTAGATAAAAAGTTGGCCAATCAATTAAAGGTGGTTTGATACCTAATCGTTTGAGCTTATTGATAAGACATATATGGTTGACCCTACCAAAAGCTTTTGAGAAGTCAAGGTATATTACGTCAATCTTCGCCTTGCGATCAAGGATGGTCGTCCATCTGTCCATCGCAGTCAGTAGGTTGGTTATACAAGAATGACCCTTCCTGTAACCGTGCTTTTTGGGTGAAAAGAAGTTTAAGGATGTATGACATGTTAAGAAATGATTTTGAACCCAATATACTCTTTATCTCTCTTTTTCCCTACCAGACCAGGACAACTTAAAGGACATAGCAGGCGAGAAGACAAGCGAAGAACGAACAAAATACCCGTGGCATACATATTTTCACACCGAGTCATCAATTCATGGAACCTGTTACGTGAAGCAGTGATGTCAGTGCCTCCAGTCGACTCATTCAAGAGAAGACTAGACACTCACAGAAGCATACAAGAAAAAGAATAACATAGGTCGTAGGTCTTTTGTCCTTACTACGCAAATCTGAACCCGATATTGGATATAGGACTGACCTTCGTGAAGTTTCAAAAACCGGACTGATGTCCTACTTGAATGTTGGATGCTTGTAGCCGGTTGTTGTTATCGAGTAACTCTATTTATCACTTCTCTACTGTCATAATTCAATTTCAATACTAATTGTTTAGTTTAGTTGGCCGTAATTATCCATAGGTGTTTATAGAAGCAGATCAGCGTAGCATATGCTACATCCACTTAAGTTACGTCCTAATCAGGTCGCTAGTATCGTCATGAACTAATGTGATTTCTGGTCTGGTTACTCTTTGCACTATCAAGTCCTCCTGTATTATTTTAGGTCCCGTGAGTCAACACGAATTCGGCGCTTCAAAGTGCTCACAGATAAACGTTTGTAAACTCTGGATTTTTAATAATCGATAAACAATGTAGTACGCCGGCTAACCTGTTTTTAAGATTATTGGCTAAATTTGTTATCCCTATAGCAAACCAAGTCGAATTTATATCTTCTTACCCCTAACAGTTTTTAGGACATTTTGTAACTATTGTTTGGTATCATTTATGAAGTTTTAGTGGGTGGTTCATAAAGATCGATAGGGGTCCCGGATAAAATAAAACTACTGAATAATTGGACCTGCACCCAGACGTAAAACTAATCATTGGCCCTAGAGAGTTGAGCAAACGACATTCAGCTTTTTCGAGGTGGAAAATGAATGTCAAATATTGTATTCTTACCCAAGGTGTTTGAATCGTTTCGTCTAATCAAATCGTACAACCGATAAGATTATTATGTTTAACGCTTCCTTCACTCGGATCACTTATGAAGTCATGCTACAAAAATGAGTGTGTGGTATATTTGTGATATTGCATCAAAGTAGGTGGTATTGCGGAACGCCATTGATCTGATCGCTGCGGATACCAGTCCATAGTAGTTATCACGTAATCTAAAGTTTTCTTTCAGTAGTTGACCCACTCACAAAGAGATTAAAAACCCGTCAGATCATAGCTGACCAGAGACTTTACAGTTTTGGGAACATCGCTAATTCTGGTCTATGTCTACTTGCCACGATAAAGTTTTCCTTGCATACTAGATAGATTAACCCCAGATTGGATCTGGTGATAAGGGTTTTATACTAGACTGCCACTTCGTGATTAAAATTCCATTCCATCCATCTAATAACTGTATTAGCCTTCAAGGTTCCCGTTTAGGTGTTATCAAATTATAACAACAACCTAGTAACCTCGGCAGTAGTTGGAAACCATAAAGTAATTCTCGACTCAAACTACTGAAAACGAGTAATTGAATATCAGCTAGAATAATGGCGAATTATTTCCTAGTATTATGTCCATCATAGGCATCATCCAGTGATTGTGGAATACTGATAGATTTTTCTCAGCATTTCTCGCCGTCTTTCTTTAATATTAATATGAAACGAACTGAAGAGGAGTTATCATATAAAAACAGGTGATTATGTCTAGTTAGGAGTTCGGATTAAGTTGAAATAATCCCATCAGTCATGTACATCTATATAACAGGTATCTCCATAATCAAATGACACCAGTAATGAATCTCGATGTTGCTAATATACTCGTTTTTAGGATTGATATCAAACATTTGTTGTCAATATCTTCCTAATGAGTTTATGAACTTATTCTCTTAAAATATAGTTCTATTTTCTTAGAAAGAGTATTGTCATTGCTTTTCTTACTATTTACTTTGCAGTTGACCAACTAAATATATCAACATGCAACCGACATATTTAGAACCTTTGGGTTCAGTTAATTTCTCCAAATTCAAGACCGACATATCGTTGCGGAATACAACGCAAATCGTCTTCAGTTCATCTTCAGCAACTGTATGCCTATACGATATACACAAACTTGACTGCTTTCGTGAAAGTCCAAATTGGTCACATCAATTTACATGGATACCTATTTTAGATTTAAAATATTTATTGGATAATGTATCAGACTCTCCTGATGATTTGTACAATTGGCATATTAGTAAAGTTATGTTTGTAAATACTTCAACTACGGCAAGGCAATCTTTAGCAGCGGTTCTTGTAAATATCAACCAGAATCGTTCACTTGTCTGTTTTTTTCGTTCATTGAGTACAGCAAAATGTAACATAACTGTTATAGTAAATGGGGCACTAACCTCACTGGAGTGGTTGCCTCTTATCGACATAGGATGTAAGCCATCGGAATCGCGCTCAATGAACTCTACTATGGATATTACGGATCAAGATATTTCCAAAGGAACAAACAAAACTTTAAGCTCCGTTTTATCAGTTTTTGATGGTTGTTTCGCTCTCGGTTTTCAGCAAGGACTTGTGGGTTTACTGGGTGAGTATATATTTGTTTATGTTTTAGAGACATGATTGACCTTAGACTTGTACACTATTGGATCCTAACTCAGTAGTTTAGAGGTTAAGTGTTCGCACACGCGACTGAAGGTCCTGGGTTTGGATCCTAGGTGCGGCGTCATGGATGCGCACTACTGAGAAGTCTCATACTAGGACGAAACGACCAGGTGCTTTTAAGTCATTCTTTTTTCTCGAATCATATTGTTTGTGTCTAATCTTTTCGCCCGACCGTTGTTGCTACCTTGACGTGGTGGTCGGGCTTGTCTATCATGATGAAGCAGTCGAGCTATACTGGCTGGAACAACTGTTCCTCAAGGTCCTACCATGTCAGACAGGTCGGTTGAAGAGCGGTAAGATTAAAAGCAACAAACCCAAAGTCCAAAGGCGAAGTCACACTGCTGACTGTACAGAGGTGTGACGGTAGTAAGATGTTTTTTCAGACAACCAGCATAACAGTAAGGCTGTCTTCCCACAAGGAGAGGTGGGGTTAGAAAAGGTCGACCCTATAAATACACACCTCGCCTTATTCCACGAATATCCATCTCCGGCGGTAAGGTTCACCATGTACAGAACTAGCACGAAAATTACTCACAAAAAGGTCGCGTGTGACTGACCTCAAGCAGTTATCCCTTGTGCACTGCGGTCACGCTCTCAGGTCACTAAGACCACCTGTAATCCGATTTCCTTTTCAGGTACCTCCAGAAAAACCCTTCCACGGTGTGGGCAACCGGGAAGTGACAACCGCCCTCATACCTCTAACAGCAACCGGTATGGTACTAATGAAATTAAAATCCTCATTGTATTGTATTTCTTGTGGGTTATTTATGCATTAGTTTGCGTACTATCCAAAGGTAAATGTCAGATATATGTGCTTTCAAAGAGTTAGTTACTGTTATTTCGAAAAACTGAAACTCTCAGTTAATCATCAGCAATGTAGAACCTGGCATAGTTGTTCAATGATTCAAGAAGTCACACTATATCATCTTAGCGAGATAAAATTATCATTATACAAAATACCAGTATAGTAGTAGTTTTAACAATACCACTGGTATTGATGGTAATAGGAAAATTAGAGATGAACAGTATGTATAAAGAATGATTTTTTACCATCAAAAGTACGTAAACTGAAGATCTAAGGGAGGACAAGGAGGAGTGAATACCTCTGCACCGGTTCTGAACGTGTTCAACTACTAATTTCGGTAGTCATCCAGAAACCAACTACCTACTTCATAATTAGTTCCCTTTATGAATTTGAATAAAGCTAGAACAAATATGGATGCAGAATAATATGAATTTACTATATTTCGTGGTTTATCATCAGCTGCTTACAACCATATATGTATCTAAAGTTAACATTGAGGTAGGCCCGATCGAAGCTGCTACCTTGACGCGGTGGTCGGGCTTGCCTATCGTGATGACCCAACCGAGCTATATTGGCTGGAACATATGTTCCTGCAGGTTCTACCATGCCAGGCAGGTCGATTGGCGAACGGTAAGACTAAAAGCAGCAACTCAAGGTCTGAGGGCGAAGTCGTACTGCTGACTGTAGAGAGGTGTGACAGCAGTAAGGTGTTCCCTTCAGACAACCAGCATGACAGCGATGCTGCCTTCCCAGAAGGTGTGGTGGGGTTAGAAAGGTCGACCCTAAAAATGCGCACTTCGCCTTATCCCACGGATATCCGTCTCCGGCGGTAAGGTCCCAAAAAGTACGGAGCTAACACAAAAATTACCCATAAAAAGGTCATATGTGACCGACCTCAAACAGTTGTCCCTTGGGCACTGCGGTCACGCTCTCAGGTCACTAAGACCACCTTTAATCCAATTTCCTTTCCAGGTACCTCCAGAAGAACCCTTCCACGGTGTGGGCAACCGGGAAGTGATAACCGCCCTCATACCTCTAACAGCACTCAAGACCACTGTATTCATAATCAGCCTCCATCTTCAATTCCTATTATTCCTCCTACATCGACTTTCAACTCTAAATTTCCTCTTTCGGCTTCCTCCTCAAGTGTCACCATAGCCAACGATTCTAGTGCTCAAAACACTGTCCCAGGTCTACTGAAATCTCGCTCCATACTACACATTGGAGCCTTCAACGTACACACCCTCTGCCAAATCGGTCAACAGGCTTCCTTGGCTAGAACCCTTGAATCTCGTACCATTGATGTATGCTGTGTCTCTGAAACACACACACAGGATCCCAGTGTGGTCATTCACTTGACTTCACCTCGGCAAAACGGAGAGCCACCGAGATACACCCTCCGTGTATCTGGTGACCCGACGGCCAGTTCTCGTGGACTGGCAGGTGTAGGCATAGCACTAAGCATGAGGGCGGAACAAGCACTGTTAGAGTGGATCCCCGTCAACAGTCGTCTGTGTGCTGTTCGGCTAAACGGCTCCGTAAGAACTCGGAAGGATGGGGACACACGTCGTTGCCTTTTTGTTGTTTCTGCCTACGCTCCCACCGACTGCAGCTCGGATTGAAGTGAAAGATCAATTTTACAGAAAGCTATCTGAACTTCTTCAGAAAGCTAAACGTTCAGACATAGTAATCGTAGCAGGTGACTTTAATGCCCAGATAGGTAGTTTAAACCAAACAGAAAGGCATTTAGATGGGTATTTTAGTATTCCAGTACAACGAACAGATAATGGTGATCGTCTGCTGCAACTGTGCTCAGACAATCGCTTATTTTTAGCAAACAAATTTTAAGCATAAGGAAAGACATCGTCTAACATGGCGACCCCCTATACCAACCCAACGATGGACTCAAATAGGCCATATTGCCACCAGTAATCGTTGGAGAGGGTCGGTAGAAGATTGTCGCTCATTCTGGAGTACCTGCTTGGACTCCGACCACGCCCTAATACGTTCACGCATCTACTTGCGCCTCACTGGACGCTAAAAAGCCACAGTAAAAAGGACACATTAGAACTGAACTGAGTAACGAGAAAACCAAAGTAGGTTCCAGGAACAACTGAGGTCACACTTAGGTAGTTCTGAAAATGAGGCTGACCCAGATGTTGCTTGGAAAGATATACAAACAGCTGTGGAAACAGCAGTGACATCTACCAGTGATTTAAACCACAGGGTTACAAAGAACCAATGGATTTCCTCTAGGTCTATTGCACTGATGGATTCTCGTAAACTCATCCCATCAGGCTCTGAACACGATGAAGAGCGACAACAAATCAGATCTAGGTTAAGCAAAAGTCTAAGGAACGACCGTGAGCAGTGGTGGGCAACGACTGAGATGGTTAGGCCACGTGTTACGTATGCCTGAACACCGATTACCACGACGTGCAATGCTAACGGTGTAGGGGATGGTTGGAAGAAAGTTAGGGGCGGCCAAACCGAAACGTGGCATCAGTGCTTGAAGTCACTAACTTCTAGTCTGAGCCATGTTGATAGATGCAGACTACTTGGTTGGGGTCCGCGTGACTGTCGTAACCAATGGTTGGAGACTTGGTGACATGACTCAGAATAGATCACAATGATGTAGGTGTTTACACTATTTGTCTTCCCTTAAACTAAGAGATTAAAATTGCTTCATATCTTTCTTTCTACGAACTAATTCTTTCTTCCTGTACTATATCCTTATTGCAATCTTCCTTTTATATATTACCACCTCTGAATTAACTACTTTTATGAATCCGTTGTCCATCTTGTTGTGTTAGTGAGGTATGGCAACTTGGACCGATGCATAAATGTGCCTGGTCCTACGTTGTAGCTGACTGACTAACTGACTGTCTAATCTTTTCTAATACCACAGTTACTGCTACTACTTACACTATTCTGGCATTGCTGTGTTGATGTGGCTTTTTACCCTGAACCGTTGCTCATACGAACCAGATTCTCCATTTTGTATGACTAACTGACTAATACAAACGTGCGTTAGCCCAACCAGGTAATCTGCAGCTACCAATATCGTCTAGAGCAATAGTTCATGACTTTGTGGATTGCTACTGTGTATTGTTCCGGTTAATGCTACATTACTCCTGGAGTGTACATTGGTTCCAGTTGCCATACTCCATTAGCTCAACGAGATAAAACTATCAGGGCAAATCACCGATTAGTAGTAGTAGTAGTAATAGTATTGGTAGTAATAGATAAGAATGTGAGTCGATGTGGGGGTATGGTTAGGACACGTGAAGTATCGTACACGAGCAATGTTTGGAACACATTTATCAAAAAACTCCTGCGATGTACGCTTGCTTTATACTTTCATAGACGATGTTTCTTAACCATTGAGTAGTATAAATTGGGTTACTTATCAGAATTTTTGCCTTCTGGTTGTCGGATGGACATTTTGCATACCTGATAAGTGACTCCATTTGGTAAAATCCGGGTGGTGTTTTTAAGTTGATGTCGAGGTTTTATCAGGCAATCCATGGTTGTCGAGACGTCTACAATAAATGAAGTGGCATGTGCACTTAACTCAATTCAGTCTTGATAATCACTTCAGGTGATGATGTAAGTCTTGAAGTAAAACTGTTTCGTGATAGTGTCCTTTTCGCTTTCATTATATGGTTTATTAAAGTTGGCATGATGCTTTGTATTCCCTATCTTTTTGATTGTGGGCATTTATTTGTTGAAGTTATTGTAGCGACTTATCTTTGTATTAAAAGTATCAGCATTATACCTACAAGAAATATATATTTATGATTTTACTACAAAAAGAAACAACACCATGTTGTGTTTATAAATCGCCTTTTAATCAAATAATAATATTTGGCTAACAATCAAGTTTAACATGCACAGTTCATGTATTCTAAAATTTGGTAGACGATATTTACAGTCATTTAGATTTATTTCAACCTCTTTGTTTGTTATCATTGACTAACAGCTGAAATATATTCCACTGATTTGTGGTTGAATAATCATTTAGTAATCAGAGATTTTAACTTGTAAATATCTATCTATATATATATATGTATGGTTGATTACTTGTTTTCTCTCTTTTCTTTTTCTTCTTCTACAGATATGTGTCTAACACATACTCGTGATGATTTATTAAATGATATACCTGAGACATCAATTGCAGTTGAAAGATCACATTGTTTAAATTGTTTTTCTTGTAAACAACCAATATCTCAATCATCTAATGATAATATAGAACACTCACTAGTATATCTTGACGGTAAATTGAAGTAATCATTTTTTTAAAGGTTGAAACAATGTTTTAAAATCTACTTAACAGTATATAAACTACTTTGACAAATTGGTTACTTTCGAATACTTATTTCGTTGGGAGACTTTTTTATATATTGTTTGGTTGTTTTGTTTGAGTTAACTGGTTCTATGTTTTATTTTATTTTAACACATAGATATTGGTACAGGGAGGCACCAAATACATATGCGCCACACATATCAAATGAGATATGTGTGAGGGCTGTGATACTACCCGGGTGCCCAAACCGAAGCAGGTGGTTTTCTTAGGAGGCCACATCCGGCGCCTTCAACCTAAAGGTCTGATTCACAAGGCAGTGGAGCAACGTCAGGAGTTACAGTCCCATGGTAGCCGGTGACCAATAATTGGTTCATACACCATTTGTTCCTTCAGGATCCTAGAGCACATGTGTATCATTAGTTTAGAATCAGGATTTTCTAACTCCCCTAGGTAGATGCTCCGTGTCCACCAGCCCGGTTAAAGCGCTGGATATTCATTTTTCGTTCTCTCAGTTTTGTAAACAACACCCTTGGTGCGAGAAGGTAGTGAGTAGGGCTTCCCTGGCAATGGTTGCATGTACGTGGCTGTGTAAGAGCATTTGGAGATGGAGAGCTGACTCTCCCCACTCTCGGCTGTACCAGGGTATTTGGGGTGCAAACTGTTTTACAGCTTGGATGGCATTACTCATTTGTGAATTCATTTTCATTATTGTGCTAATCATTTGATTATTTGATGTGATATTCAGTAATCTTTTTATGCTATCATTCTTTGATATATTTCACTCAGCCTCAGTTCTTCGATGGAATGATTTTACATATAAATCTGTCAGTGGTAAAACATTATCTTCAATCCCATCTGGTAAGTTTTTTTTGTTTATATGTGTCTGTGTATGTAAATTTCTTATTACATATTGTTTCATATGATCATGTTCGGTTTAACATATTCGTAAACATAATGAATCTATGGATTAATCATCGGAACACTCAACTTTCAAACATTGTTGCAGATTCGAATTTCCCTCTGCCTAGTTTAGTTTGAACAGTTAGATGAAATCAAAGCTTTCTTACAAAAATGTAACTTAAACCTGAATACATGGGTAGGGATGCTGCCCATTTCATTCTGAAGATTTAGTTAGTATCGATCATCCTTACAAAACGTTTGTGACTCAAATCTATTGAGTACACATATGCTTGTAAATGGATACAAAGTTTTACTATACCACATTTACTAGGTTACAAATCTTTACGGAAGCAAAACATCTAAATTCTAATCTGTTTCATTATTATTATTAATTATAGCTGGTGTCTACGTGTCAGCCTTAAGTTATATTCCACAACTTCAAGGTCTTGCTGTTGGCTTCAGTTTTGGTGGTTGGCAATTATGGTCATTGGATCGACTGAATATGGAGTAAGCGTTGTGTGAATTTCTTTATTTTTTTTTACAAAGATGTAAACTTAATCTTCTCAATTATGCCTTATCTTTTACAATGACTTTTCAAAATTTGAAATCATACAGCTTGTATTATAAAGCTAAACAATAGTTATAAACGATCCTTTGATAGGTATATGAAAAACATATCTTTCTGTCCATAGAGTGGTTTTTGTATTTAATCGTTAATTGACTTTCAATTCTTGGTTTGTCAGTTAACTGATGCATTTCACCCATGTTGGTTTGTGTAATTACGTAGTATCTATAGCCCCCAAATGCTCTGGTACAGCCGAGAGTGGGGAGAGTCAACTCTCCCTCTCCAAATCCTCTCGCACGGCCAAGTGCATACAACCACCACCAGGAAAGTCCTACTCACTGCCTTCACGTGGAGGGGGGTGTTGTTTACAAAACTGAGAAGATGAAAAGCGAATGTCCGGCACTTTAACCGGGCTGGTGGACACGGAGCATCTACCTAGGGGAGTTAGAAAATCCTGATTCTAAACTAATGGTACACATGTGCTCTAGGATCCTTGAAGGAACAAATGACGTATGAACCAATCGTTGGTCACTGGCTACCATGGAACTATCTCCTTAGGATGCTCCACTGCCTTGCGGATCAGACCTTTAGGTCGAAGTCTCTGAGTGTGGCCCCCCAAAGAACCACCTGTTTCGGTTTGGGCACCCGTGCAGTATCCCTGTAATTAATAAGAACACCAGTGAGGACAATCGGATGTATTTGACTCAAAATTACAGGACTTGTTAATAAAATCTAACAATCAAATAGTAAATACGTAATTTGCAGAATGTCTATCAATTGTCTCATAATGACTCAGACTTCATTGTTCCTGCATTTTCATACAAATTGCATTCTGTTCCCGTTCTTTACTGTTTGATCCTCCTGTCTCTCTGCTGTCAGACCTTTTCACGAGTAACGTCATATACTACTTATGTCACTATAAGTAGCACACACCCCATCCCAACCCTCACACAAATTGAATGATTTACGTGGCACATATCTATTTGGTACCTCCTTTTATCAATGTTTATGTGGTTAAATAAATAAATAAATGGTATCTGTAACTGGTAATCAATATTTATATAACCCAGAGTTCAGTAAATGGTTTTGTGCTCAAATTTACTGAGTTGCATTATTTATTCCCTTGTCTATACTTAACTGAGCATTTAGTTAGCCATTGTTTCCTGCAAATTCATTATTTTATGAGGTTTGCACTCTTTATTCACAACTTGAACCACTTCGGGGGGGGGGACGGGTTTCAACTACCAAACAGTTTTAATCTCAGTCCTGAAAGAGGCTAAATCATGTTGTTTGATATCAAATTTAATTCGAAAAACATAAAGCAATATGTAGTGCTCTTTAAGAATCCATAAGATGATTACGACGTAGGCTGTTTACATTGTTCAGTTTTGAATTTCCTTACACTATTTTTGGTGCTTTCGGATTTTTACTTACACTCAGTAATGATTTAGTTCGATATGGCCTAAAGGCATTTTGATTTTTATTCTGAAAATAGCTTCCATCGGACATATCTGATATGTTGCATATCTAAAAATGTTTTCAGGATTCTCTTACTCATGCTGCCATTCTTCACTGTATTAACTGCAAAGGATAATGGGGTGATGGTCACGGCATTCAACCACCGCGTCTAAAAGTCCAAAACCTTACTCGATTTAATTGAGTTTGGAAAACTATATAGCGTCAACAATTTTCACATATGAGACTACATCTCCTAACGTTACTCCACTTTCTTATGGGTTAGATTTGTAGGTTAAAGGCTCGGGGAGTGGTCCATCTGCTTCGGTTCGGGCACTCGGGTAGTATCATAGCCCCCACACAAGTCAATGATAACTTCGTGGCGCGTATGTATCTGGTGCTCCCTTGTACCAATTTTCGTGTGCCTAAACAAATAATTAGATAATCAGAATTGGAGAGTTATAATCTATACCATTTTCTTTCTGTTTTAGATTTTGTTTGCGACAAGCTACTCCAGCTACTCCTGTGGTTAGTTTCAACTTTCTAGAACCTTCGGATGATCCACGATTTTGTTGTTTTATTTGGGTTGGTTGGCAATCAAAACAAGAAACTGAAAGTGATGGTGTGTTTAGATTTACTGGGAAACAGAATTCTGCAGGAAACTTCCAAAGGTAAATTTGGTTTTTAAAGAAATTAATGTATTGGGATATTCCAAAAAGCATCGTAATTTGTGCATTTTTAAAAAAAAAGTGTTTGAAATGATAATGAATGATTCTAGAATGTGATATATATGAAAAGGATGAATACCATCGTCTGATTCAAAGTTGTCTATGGGTAATTCAACTTAGTAACACGAGTTTGTAATATTAGCGTTAACTTGGTGGAAATATGAATGTGGACAACTTTCTGTGCTCTTTCTCTCGTCCTTTAATTGATCTTAAAGAAGTGAAGTCGTGACTGAAATATATTTTTGTACTATCTGAAGAAACTAGCTTGAAGGACAACTATTTCTTTGTTCTTACATCTTCAAAGAACGTTGAAAGTGTTTTGATTGCAACTATTTGATCGATCTGATTTTCTGTTGTGTAGTCCGGTGAAACTAATTTAGTTTTTTTGCATGTATTTGTAAGGAAAAATGTTACCGCCTATGACTATTTTATTGAATTCACATAAACGTACCAATCTCACTATTCCCGTTTCCTTTCTCCTAGTCCACACCGCCGCATTATGTGTTCGTACCTGGTGTTGTCCATCCTGAACTTGGTGTTTAGATTCGCCATCATGATTGTCAGTTGGGCACTGTCATAGAATGGAGTGGAGCCTCTCATAAAACTGGTCTTTATCATTTTTACTCCCATCATTGGTAGACACTTAGCATTGAATGATACTCACTAAATCCTTCTGTTCTTTGTTTTGAAAGATGCTTTGATGATCATTGACTACTGGGTTTCCCATTCTATAAGTGCTTTTCGTGCTTCTGTCGACAGCATCAGTTCAACTGCTTGTGTGTAGGGCATCTTATTCTCCCGAATCAGAATGTGATAACATTTCTGTTGAAGTTAGCCCAGTCGGTCTCAAGTATTCCAAACACAGCCAGATTGTATTATCTCATTCGTGTGTCTATATGAATGATCTTCCAGTTTAGGCATTCCATGTCCGTATGTTTGTTGTTGTCCTGTTTGTAAGAAAGGATATCGGCGTAATGGCTTTTTAAAACTCGGTCTTCGCTTTGAGGGATCAGAACTTTTTTATATAAATACTCTTAGACTCTCACAACAGAATTTAGTTGGTTTTCGCTGGTCAGCGATTTTTGAACGATGTTCTTTATAATCTGTGCGGTTTTCTACCCTACATTCAGCCCTTCTTTTTTATGAAGGTTTGGTACCGGTAATAGATTCTTTGGAGGTTCAGGAAAATTTAAACTAGGGATAGCCTCACATAATTGACTTCAAAAAGCACTTTTTCGGGTGATATTACAGCGAGACCATAATTTATGGACGACCTTTGAGCGACGCTGAAGTGACCTTGAGTGGACACCCACTGATTAGGACTAAATGAGGGTTATAAAGCAGTTCGAATTCTCATTTACAGTTGATGGTTAGAGTTAAAAATTAGATTTAGGGTTTTCATCACGAACTGACATCAGATATAATGTCAAAACTCTATTTAGCCAAATGTATGGATGAATTTCGCGCCAAAATTCGTGACTCATTATCTTGTATCTGATTGATTCGTCCATAAATTATAGTCTCGCCTGATATTACTTCGGTTCTTCAAATGAAAGTAGATATGACGGTATTTGAACTTGCAAACCAATGTTTTTTTCTGTATAAAATCTCATTAATGACATAATTGTTTACTTTTACAAAAGTTAGACTCCCAAACGCCCTGGCACGACCGAGATTGCGGAGAGTCAGCTCTCCCTCTTGAAATGCTCACATAGCTACATGCATACAGACACTGACAGGGGAGTCCTACTCACTGCCTTCTCACGGCGGGGATGTTGTTTACGAAATTGAGATGACGAAAAGCGAATGTCTGACGCTTTAACCGGGTTGGTGAATATAGAGGATCTACATAGGTGAGTTGGAAAACCCTGATTCAAAGCCAGTGGTGAATATGAGCTTGCTCTAGTATCCTGAGGGAACAAATGGTATATGAACCAATTTTCGGTCACCAGCTACCATGGGACTGTATTTCCTGACGTTGCTTCACTGTCTTGTGGATCAGACGTTTAGCACGAAGGCTCCGAGTCTGCCCCCCGTGTTGTGAGTTTATGTCCGGCTTTTAATCACGTGATTTATCCAGCAATGAAAATACGACTTATACAATCTTAGCACTGTGCCAAATCAATGACGTTCGACCGGTATGAGTCGCCTAGCGCCCTTATTGGTCCTGTGTTCGCCTAGCCCGTTCACTTGAGTCCAGAACACCAATACCAGCTTCCACTATGAGAATCGAATCATTTATTTCAGACATACTGTGTTTATATATCAACCAAACAGACCGCAACGCACCATAAAATAGGAAATAACATTTGTACACAATAAAGCCAAAAAGTGGCTGTGGACGTGGGAGGCAGTAGTCAATAAACTGAACATAGCTTAAGAACAGTAGATCGTACAATAATAAATTATAGGTCGAAATAAAGCTTATAATAAGAGGAATATAAATATACATAATCTAATTATACCAAGAGAATATATAAATAATAATAGTCCATTAATAAGTCTCAGATGTTACTCGTAATCTTCACTAGGATATAACACCCTCCATAAGAAAATCACTTGCTTCGTTTTGGGCAGCCGTGCAGTATCATAGACTTGTGTGGGGAATATGTAATTCGATGCTCTTTTGTACCAATATTTATTTGCTTAAATAGATCAATATAATAAGTTTGACTTCATAGACTCTAAAGTTAAGTCATTATTTATTGATAACTGTAAAGGGTATAATATATGGTTGTTCCATTCTATCTTCATATTTCTCATGAATCAGTCATCAATTATTTATTTATTTGAACACATAGATATTGGTACAAGGAAGCACCAAATACATATACACCACACAAATCTCATTTGGTTTGTACGAGGGCTGTGATATTGCTCAAAGCCACACCCGGAGCCCTCGACCTAAAGGTCTGATCCACAAGGCAGTGGATCATCGTAAGGGGATGCAGTTTCATGATAGCCGGTGACCAACGATTGGTTCATACGCCATTTGTTACCTCAGGACACGGGAGACCATGTACACCATTGGTTCGGAATCAGGGTTTTCCAACTCCCCTAGATGGACTCTCCATGTCCACCAACCCGATTAAAGCGCCGGACATTCGCTTTTCGTTCTCTCAGTTTCGCAGACAACACCCTTGGTGCGAGAAGGTAGTGAGTAGGACTTCCCTGGCAGATGCTATATACACGTGGCTATGTGAGAGGATTTGGAGAGGGATAGCTGACTCTCCTCACTCTCGGCTGTACCAGGGCATTTGGGGGGCATCAATGATAGTCACCTAATGTTACATTACATATTATAAGTAATTTCTTATAATGAATAGAATTAATCTTGAATTTACTTTATTTTTCTTTTAAATAATTTTCTTTCTTTCATAAAATTTATTAGTCCAACAGTAAAATTATTCCAGTTATCCTATAGACGTCGTTATGAATTATTTTCAAATAAACATAAAGAATTCAATTTCTATTACCAGGTAACTAATATAATCCATAATAATGATACAGATTCATGTAAATTATTAATTCTATATTAATCATTTCAATTGTTTATTGTCCTTTTGTGAATGAAATGATGTATGTTTGTTTTTTATGTTGAAGATAAATAAGATGATAATACTGTATCATTCTGTTTATGAAAGTCAGTCAGTAACCAGTATTAATGTAGAACTTAGTACGTACGTACGTACATCAGTTCGAGTTGCCATACCACATTAGCACAAAGATGCAATTGTCTATTCAAATCCAACAATGGTAGAGGTAGTAAGAGTATAAACAGTAATCGGATACATTAGGGTTTGAAGATGTTATTCAATGAGTACAATCCAGTGAAATAAATTTGGAAAGAGAAAAAAAGAAAGGGACATGAAGAATTGAGAAGATTATAATTTGGGAGAACACAAAGAGTGGATGCACCTGCACTCACCACTGCAAACGATTTTGAGCCATGTCATTCAAGGTCTCTAGCCATCGGTTGCTATCATCTCACGGTCCCCAACCAGGTAGTCTACAACTACCAATATGACTCAGTCTACTTGTCCGTGACTTCATGGGATTGTGCCATGTTTTGGTTTGGCCGCCTCTAGCTTTCTTCCAACCTACTCCTATACCACTGAACATCGCACATCGAAGCAGTCGGTATTTGTGCATACGTAACACGTGTTCCAGCCATCTCAACTGATGAGGTTTCACTACTTCATCAATTGATTTGCCATCCTTACCTAGTACTCGTTTCCTAACAACTGCATTAATTACTCGGTGGTCCCAGGATATACGAGCAATGTTCTGAAGACACCTATGATCAAATACTAGTAACCTACGAATATCCTCTCACCGGCCATGTTTCACTGCCGTAAAGTAGGTCGGAACGAACTGCTGTACAGTAAATCCGTCCTTTTGTTTGATAGACGGCTATCTCGCCTACGCCATAGATAGCGCAAGTTGTAAAAAGCTGGTTGAGCCTTCTGTATCTGTGCTGAGCTTTCGTCACACACCAGAACACAAGGGATGATGAGACTTTCAAGATAAGTGAAGCGGTCGACACGCTTGAATACTTCACTCCCTATCACTAGTTCGGGTGTCGATGCAACCCAACCCTGAAGCAACATTTTGGATTTCGAGAATGGGGAGAATCGCATTTCGAACATGCTTGCATTGTTGCTTAGAGTAGTCAGAAGACTGCAAGTCAATCATTTATTATAGTCTAATATTTTTACTTATATTATGATAAACCTCTTTTATTATTTTAAAGGATTTAATTGGTATTGCAGAACGTTTATCTACAACATTATCTGGTGATAAAATTGACGATAATAAACCTCAATACACATCTAGATTACTTTCTGTTCAATCACTTCATGCACCGGGTGATTTCATTATGGATAATAATAATTATCATCATCCCAATAACAATAATAGCAATGCTGTCATCAGTCATTCTATAGGAATGATACGTTTAATTGCTTTTATATGGAAGTTTTCCGAATCTGTTATTCGTATTGGTCTGTTTGATTTGGATCGATGGTATCATGCACAAATGCCAACTTATATCAGGTATGGGAATAAACAGTAGTAACATTTGAGGAAATTTGATAATATTATGTATTGTGCATATTATGGATTAAGAAAGACATGAGATGAAGTATATGTTTGTATAATAATGAAGTCGTTCTTACTTAGATAGTTTTGTGGAGTAAATGGCTTAGTGGTTTAGGCGTTCGAATTTCATCTTCTAGGTCTAACTTTCAAATATTGTAGTGTCAGTCATTATATTAAGCCCATATACTTTACTCTAACTTTCGGACAGCCCAATCTATTCGTTCTACTTGAGTCATATTTTGACCGTGTTAATTATTCGCTTATCAGTCTTGATTGTTTTTATATGAGCGCATATGTTTGTACACTTCATACCCCATGTCTCATCACATGTCTGTAGTTTATTTTGTCTGCCTATAAGTATTGAGTAACGCCTGGCTAAAAATGAGTTGGCTTACCTGCCATCTCTACTGCGCTGCATTTTGCTTTGTTCTATCGCATTCACTTTACATACAAAATATATGTATGTATTCAAAGGCCATTCTCGTTATCTAAATTCCGTTATTGACTAACGTGATTTAAGTCGATAATTGTATACGAGGATAGGTGATAACAAACATTCATACGATCTAAATGGAGTCAAATCCACGGGCCACTCAATATCACTCCACCTACTTCAGTTTGAGCGATCGAATAGTATAACTTAACCTTCATATCCAGGGTGATACTGATTGCCAAGTATACGAATGTGTTCTCGGTAAAATGAGTCAAATAAACAAATCAGGTTCGACTTGCATATAATTTCTATCATGTAGTGAGCTCACTGACGATTACCGGCTTATCGATGAATTTCCTAATACCCTAATAAAAGTAGCCATTTGACACATGACACATTAGAAACGGATATCACGTATTGCATTGAGCGATCGTCTCATTATATTACAAACTGATTTAAATTTGGTATAAACGATAGACTATACATTCCGTAATTGGATTTGATATAGTTGCTGTGCCATTATTGTTCATGATTCTTTAACCATCCATTTTCAACATATTAAGGACATCCAATCCAAAAAACCTTACACTTATCTTGGTTACTGAAACTAAAAGCCAGTGATTTATTTGGAATCCAGGTAATCATAGTGTAACATACCTCAATGTTTTTACTTGATAAGGATTCCCAAATCCACCTACTTATTTACTGTCATTGTGTAGAAAGTTTAAATGCTCACATGATCACTATTCACTCTTGTTTGTACTGCGTATTGAAAGCCAATGACTTCTTTGGTTAAGTATCGATAATTGTCTTACTAGTCATAATTTGCAACATCAGTGAAGTAGTGATGTAGTGAATGAAAACACAAGCAGAAACAACTGAATGTTTTTGAACATAACGTTGTAAAATCTAAGAACCATAAAGTAATACTTCATTTGCAAAATGTCGATTAGTTGTCTCAGGCTTGACTGTTCCTTCGTTTCAACGCCATGCACTCTCTGTTGTCGTCCTCTTCGACCTTAACCTTTTGCCTCCAGGCATATCACTTTCAATTGATGATACATACTACTTATATCTGTCGATGTCAGTAGCACACATTATAGTGACACAAAATAGATTGTTGAATAGTAAACTTATTTTTTAATATTAACACAAATATATCGTTATTGGTACAAAATGAGTTCTTTTGCTTCACACACACATGTGCCTAGTTAAATTGTTTAAACTAGTGTGTACAGTATCTTTGAAAGGACTTATAGAACAGTGAGTTCATAATTATAGACAGTTGACTTTTTGCAAGTTTAACCCACTCTAATCCATTTGTCCCAGTTTGGGAAGCCAAGTAATATAATTGCCTCTCGCATACAATGTAGTTCAGAGCCGAATATCTGTACGCTCATTGAATTAGTATGAAAATTACACACACACACACACACACACACCAGAAGAGTTAGAACATATGTTCACTAAGTGATCCTATTCTGAGTTATATTTGTTATGATGTAAATGGTGTAGAATATATGTTACTCAAGATGAAGACTTTGAAGGTGTTTTGTTTGCTTCATCGTGAAAGTTTCACAATCAAACCAAATATCACCTCAGAGAGCGAAATAATCCTGTGTTAGGTCTTATTTACTCTGAGATTTCAATTATTTAGATAAATAGATCTGTTAATTATTTAGTTCATTTTTGGAAATAGTTATTTATAGAGAAAAACCTGCATGTTTCTTATCTCATTGTAGATCTGATGACACGTTTGTTTCTATTTTTGATGCATTAATTCCAAATCAAAAAGTACACTTATTGGTAAGTTAAAATGTGTTTTTTTTTACTGCAAACATGAAGCTAGGACTTTCGGTCTCGCACGCGAACGCTTAACTTCTTGACCACTAAGCTGGCCTTGGGTTCGAGTCGCACGTGTGAGATCGTGTATACTCACTGCTGAGGAGTCACATACTAGGACTTAACTCCTGCCCAGTGCTTCCAGGTTTTCAATAGTGGTCTAATATGGATCGTTTCGTGATCTCAATCAAAACTCAACATTTATTTATCTAAACACATAAACATTGGTACAAGGAGGCACCAAATAGATATGCACCACATAAATCATTCAGTTTGTGTGAGGGCTAAGATACTGCTTGAGTGCCCAAATCGAATCGGGTGGATTTTTATTTCAGAGGACCACACACAGAGCCTTCGACATAAAGGTCTGATCCACAAGGCAGTGGAGCAACGTCAGGAGATCCAATCCCATGGTAGCCATTGACCAATAAATGTTTCATACACCATTTATTCCTTCAGGGTCGTGGTGCCCATGTGCACCATTGGTTTGGAATCAGGGTATTCCAACTCCCCTAGATGGACTCTGTGTCCACCAACTCGGTTAGAGTGCTGTACATTCGCTTTTCGTCCTCTCAAGTTGGTAAATAATACCCCAGTGGCGAGTTGGCAGTGAGTAGGAGTTCTACGGCAGTGGTTGTATGCACGTGGCCATATGAGAGGATTGGGAGAGGGAGAGCAGACTTTTCCCATTCTCAGCTGTACCAGGGCATTTGGGCGAAATATGTTGTATGCTCCTTATTCATCTGGTCTATGAGAACCATAAAGTGGTGTAGTTCTACTGTGTAATTTCGTAACAGTGTATACGAAATAACTGTCCTTTATTTCCTGATTTTTAATGATTCCCATTGTTTTTATCAATTTATGATAAAAACCAACTTTCATAAAAAATCTCTCAGTCAATATTTATAAGGATTTGTGCAAGTTAAGGGTTATTTGCACTCATTAGCTCAGTGAACAACGCGTTGACGTTTTGAACGAAATTCTCTAGGTTCGAGTCTTTGTATGTGTTAAGTCTTGCTGATTTGGACGCTATATTCGTTTCTAAGCTGTTCTGATAACCCGTGTGCTAGAACTATACAGCGACCTGAACACCAGAAAGAAGACGCAAGTATGAGAGAAACACTGTACTCCAAGGTTCGTTTTTGTGCAGAAAACGTTTGTTAAATCAACATCATATTTCAGCCAATCCGTTAACGACATCTTATGCTACTGACTAATAGTAGCACGTCACGTTGGAATTCTAGAATGCTCCATTATGCTCTGATTGGCTAGGACTCTTCGGCTCTTTTTGGGCCTCTGGAGGCTCCGTTGAAGTTCTCCGAAAACCGACTCAACAGTATAGATATCAACACATATACAGTTACATATAGTAGATGAAACACACTGACAATTACTATTCTATTTAAGTAAAACTTCTAGTGTATTATTTTCATCTTTTTTAATTTTGTTGTTGTTGTTGATTGTTTTCTTGACCCATAGCACACCTATTTAATTGAATCAAGTTTAATGTCATTTTGGAGTCGTATTGTTCAACGTGAATCAAATTTAATTCAATATTGTCAATCTTATCCTATATTAATAAATTCAACTATAAATTCTACCAATAATCATCATCATCATCATCATTATAAAAGACTACGTCCAATTCCTGAAATATTTCTACGTCCATCATCATTATCATTTCATTGTCTTATATTTTGGACTAATGATATATCTTATAGTAATAATAATATATTAAACTTTTCTATGACACAACAACATCGTCATCGTACTACTACTACTACTACTACTAATACTACTCATCAGTATTATGATTGTATCTATCATCTTAGTCGAATTATGTTTGTATCATATCAAGAAGAATGTCTTATAGAATTGAATCAATTTATAAAGAAATCATCATTAAATTATAAAAAATTTAATATTATTCAATGGTTATCTAATGCATGGAAATATGGTCTACTTGAATCACCAGGTTTAGATCAATTTGATGATGATGAAGAATTTATGAATTTATTAAATTATACACAAAATACTACTTTAATAAAGAATAAATATACTACTGATAATACTACTACTAATACTACTATTAATGATTATGGTATTCATTTAACACTTGGTGATTATTATGATCAATCAATTATTGATAGTTTAAATAAATTATTATATAATTTAACAACAGAACAATTCAATAGTAATACTATTGTGGATGATGATCATGATCATAATGATGATGATGATTGTATTTCATCAAAACGTCATTGTAAATATCGTCGAATAGATCAATCAGTCAATTCATCATTATATAGTAAAGGAATAAAAACACTTAAAAAGAAATATCAATATTCTTTAGATCCTTGTTGGGTATTATTAGCTAATTGTCTTTTAGAACATGGTTGTATTAATGTATTAAAGGTAAGTTTGTTTAGTTAACTTATTATTATGGTATATGCTACTTAGATTGACAGGCATAAGTAGTATGTAACACCAGTCAAACAGTTACAACGTAGGATCAGGCACATATATACATCGGTTCAATTTTGCCGTACCTCATTAGTACAACAAGATGAACACCAAATTCATAGAAGTAGTCACTTCAATGGTAGTAATATATAAAAGTAAGATCGTGTATAAGGATATAATACAGAAAGGAAGTGTAAGCAAGAAATGTATGAAGTTATTTCAATCTCATAGTTTAAGGAAAGACGAATAGTGTATACACCGACGTCATTGTGATCGATTCTGAGCCATGTTACCTAGAGTCTCAAACCATTGATTAAGATAGTAACACGGACCCCAACCAAGTAGTTTGCATCTACTAACATGGCTTAGACTAGAAGTTAGTGACTTCGTGGACTGATGTCACGTTTTGGTTTGGCCGCCCCTAACTTTCTTCCAACCATCCCAAACACTAGTCAGCCTTGCGCGCCGTTGTAGTCGGTGTTTAGGCATATGTAACATGTGACCTAACCATCTCAGTCGATGAAGATTTACAACCTCATTAACTGATTTGCCATCCTTCCCTAATACCCTGCGTCTAACCTCACTATTACTTACTCGATGATCCCAGAAGATGCGAGTAATATTTATAAGGTATCTGTAATCAAATACCAGTAGCTTACGAGTATCTTTACTCTTAATGACCTCTAACAACATTATGTAACATCAATCATAAAGTGAGATGCCTGACAGCATAAAGTTGCAAGGTTGAATGGAAGAGTATGGGAACAGAGAGTAATTTTCATAGCAATAAAGGAACGATGAAGATTGAGGCAATTAATGGAAGATTTGCAAATGAATTATCTAATGTATGTTTTTCACAATTTGCGAAGGAACTCTGTAATTATATAGTAAATAATAAGTTGCTTGTCGCCGCCTAAGTGTTCGTTCATTACACTCTTACTACTATTGAGTTCATATATTAGTAGTTGGGAATTAATTTGATGTTTAAAATTTACTGTTGGTATACATCCCAATTTAAAACTATCAAATTGATATTTGAGTTGGATACTGACTAATATTGGAGTCCAGAACGCGCGTTTCCTCGTATTTGGTACTAATCAGATCGATGTACCTAGATCCCAGTATTGATGCTCACACATGAGCTTGAACTAAGTACCTTCCTCTCTAAACACCAACAAAGAAAAACTCATTGGAATCGTTTGTCGGTGTGTGTTGTTGTTAAGGCGATTATGGAATTACTTAGTTTTCTTTTAGGAATACTAAAGCCATGCTGGTAACGGTTACTACAATCGCTTTTTTTTCTAATTCATCTTTTCATATAATCTTTGCTATTTTCTGATTCGTTCCCACTACTCTTAGCTCACTAATTATCGTTATGCTTCATGGTCATGCTTTCGTACTATATCTAGTGAGCTCTACCATTTTAAGTTGTTCTACTCAAATATGAAGTTTCCCTTGCACTTTATCTTCCTGTGCTAGCGACTAATTGTTAAAGTGTTGTATAGCAGCCGCTGTTATCGAATTCTCAATAGAACTATCTTTAATGAAATAACTTCGTCGTCCTTTAATTCGCAAAAATCGTAAGGAAATCGGAAACCCCGGTAGACAATCGTTCTTGTCACCAATTATCAGTGATATATATCTATATAGGTCATCGTATCATCGTCATTTGGAGTGGTGGAAAAAATTTCTGCGTCCTTTCTTTTCCCCAGTTGTTAAGGGGCTAGATCAATAATGCTTAGGAGAATAGCTGAAGTTCGATTGAAGGTTATTTTGCGTTTCTTTACACCCGTTCGTTATTCATCCGAGTTACATAACTTGGCATCTGGTTATAACAGTGGGATTATTTATTCCGTTTTCTTTTAACCTTTTTATTTATATCCATTAAATACTTTCTCCCACTTAAGAATTTGGAAAATTTATCTCCACTTGGACAAGATTCCCCAATCAATATAAATTTCAAATATAGTTGGATATGGCTACGATTTTGTAGATTGAAATCTCGTTTCGACAAATTGACAAGTGTACTATTTATGCCAAAGTCATCAAATGAAGTGGAATCAGTTTTATCGAATTCAACAGATCATAGTCATTCAAGAATACCTGATCTTTTAGAGTTGGGCTGCACGATTAATCAAGTAGGTTATTTTATTTAATTGTATATTTCTTATCACAGTAGTTAGAACACCAAGAAATTGGACACAAGTCAGTCAGTCAGTCATACACATTGTAGAACCCGATGTATATATACACCGGGTTAAGTTTCCACGCTACATCAGTATAGCGAGATACCACAGTAGTATAAATAATAAACAGTATCAACGGTAATGAAAAAGACTAGGCATAAGATATAACATTCACAAAGAAAGTATGTATTCGGGTAACAAAGAACTTTATTTCGACGTAATAAGGAAAATTAAAATATGAGGGAAGGCAAATAATTAATGCACCTGTGCCACTGCAGACGATTGTGAACCGTTTCTCCCATAATTTCTAGTCACTGGTTGGGATTTTCGAGAAGACGGCAACCAGGTAGTCTTCATCGACCTACATCACTCGGATCATTAGTAGTGTCACATTTTCGTTTGTGCCTTCGTAATCTTCCAACCTACTCGTATATCAGCCAACATTGTGAATCTAGCTAGGTAGTGGTCGGGGGTACTTAATACGTGCACCAACCACTTCAGTCGATAAAGATTCACTACCCTGTCAACTAATGTACCATTCTTACCTAATACTCTGCGTCTAGCCTCATTATTGCTCACTTGGGGATCCTAACGTATTGAGGCAGTGATTGGATACAGCCTATAACTAAATACTAGTACGCTACGAATATCCTATATTTTTACAGGTCTCAGTTTACAGCTATAACGTATAACGAAGCGAACTGCTTTACAGTATACCTGTATTTTAAATAGCAAGCGAAAATCTCGTCTACTCCAGAGGTGAGGTAAGTTGACTGACGCCAACCAACCGACGTTTCTGAATCCGTGCCGAGTTCTCGTCAGATGCCAACCCATGAAGGCTGGTGAGACCCCCATGATAAATGAATTGATCAATACACTCACCTACTTCACTCCCTATCATTAATTCGGACACTGACGCAGGCTAGTCCTACAACAACACTTTTCATTTAGGAGGAGGAAACATCCCGAATATGCTTGGAGTGTTGCTCAATTAGATAGGATGAATTTAGATCTTGTCAGCGCTTTCATCATTTAGGACTATGCCATCCGCGTATTCTAAGGCTACAACGATGTTAAATAATAATCGTGCAAAGAAATGACAAAACAATTAATTTTATATACTCGTTAAATAAATGCAAAATAATAAACTAGATAAGTATGTATTAAACAATACAATTGAAGTAATTCCAACAGTTGAGATCATAAGTCAATTGAAGCTAGACCATCATGGAAGCACTGGACGGCCGTTTCGTCCTATTGTGGGACTCCTCAGCAGTGCGCATCCACGACCTCGCCTCGCGGGATTCGAACCTAGGGCCTATCAGTCTCGCGTCAGGTGCTTAACCAACTAGACCACCGAGCCGGCATCCAACGGTGTTAAAGTCTAACTTCAACTAAACCACTACAATCCTCACAAAACCCCTTCTGATACAATTGAAGTAAACATACAACCATATACTATCAAATATATAATAAAAAGCACTAAAACGGATAGCAGATGCTTTGTTCTCTCTATTCTGAGTCTTTTGTAAAATTATTGTAAGATACCCTAAGAACAATTTAGTGAGCAACGTGGAGGTTAAGAGTTATAATACTAAATAAAACTTACTTATTGACTGTGATTCTTGATCAATTAAGTTAGCTGAGGAATGTAATAGGTTTGCACTACCATTTCTAACTTTGATGCATACTATCGGCTACAGTAGGAATAGGTTGGAAACAAAAAAACTAGCATTAATTTATGTTGTTATTGAATGATTTTCTAAGCTTTCTTAGTAGATGATTTCCCCATCAACGCGCAGTTTTATTAGATTTGATTAGTAAACAGTGTAAATCATTACATTACATTTCTATATGCTCAAACTTTCCTGTGACTACACTAACATTGGGGTTTGCTCTTCATGTTACTATAGGACATTATTGTTTCCATGGTAGGGAGATTAATATTTTTCGTTGAACTAATTATAGCATGCATATATATATATATATATATATATATATACAATCTGGGTATGTTTTACGTAATAAAATTATCTGATTCATTCGATCAGTAGGTTCTCATAGTGTCAGGTAAGCTGGTCTGAGGGCAAAGTCGAACTGTTTCTTTTACTTGGAGTATGATGACTAAGTGGCTCCCACGGATAACCATCATCTTCAATTAAACTGTTTTTCATACAACTGATAGAAGGATTAAAAAACTGTCTCATTTAATAGCATTCATCATCCTGTCCTATGAGTGATTCTGTGATTAGAGTCCCAGATTGACAAGGCCTTCACTGCACATCGAATTTAGTTTTCATATCCCTCGAAAAATAGTCCTGCATGGTATTGACTACTGGTAAGTTTCGTCCATTCAAATACCCGTAGCAGCATTCGTCCTCATCTTAACTTATTGATTGACGCATTTTAACTGATTCATACTTTCTTAAACATCAAAGTTTAGTGTATGAAATAAAACAAATAAATAATTATGAGTAACTGTTATGTCCCCATAAGAATAATGAATGGTAACTTTTGGGCTCCATTTATGGACCAATACTATGCGCATGTTTTTATCGTATAATTGTTAAATAACTAAACTATTCATATTCGTATCCCTCTTATTATGAGCTTCATTTTGATCCATGAACTATCATTATACGATTTACCATTCTTGACTTATGCCCAGTCTATCAATTACTATCTCTCATATTCAGAGCCACATTTGGCTAATTCTTGTACAAGTGTTGTTTCCTATTTTCCTGGTACGATGTGGTCTGTTTGGTTGTCATATAAACCTCAGTATGTTTGAAATACATGATTCATACCGCAGAGACTGAGATTGATGTTCTGGACTTAACTGGCTGGGTTAAGCACGAAGCAGGACCGATAAGTACTCTAGACTGCTCGTATGGGTTTTATACGTCATTGATCCGATCGATAATTCACTGTTCTCTAATTGGCGTTATCATTATGTATGCATTAACAGGGCACATAGGCCACAAGTTATAACAGTAACTTAGTAATCAACATGAAATCGGTATAATAATTAATGTTTAAAGGCGCAAAATGACCACTTTTTAATATTCCCCTTTTTTTGCTTACAAATATATGTGAAATATTGGTTTTGATTACTTTTATTGTAAACAATATACTGCAAATGTCATCAAGAATTAGATAGTGTCCGGCGCTTTAACCGGATCCGAAACTAATGATGCACATGGGCTCCAGTATCCTGCGGGAACAAGTGGCGTATGAAGCAATCATTGGTCACCGGCTACCATGGGACTCCATCTCCTCACGATGCTCCACTGCCTTGTGGGTTAGACCTTTAGGTCAAAGGTTCGGGATGTGGCCCCCTAAGAAAACCACCTGTTTCGGTCTGGGCACCCTAGCAGTATCACAGCTCTCACACAAAGTGTGGCGCGTATATATTTGTTGCCCTCCTGTACCAACATTTATGTATTTAAATAAAATAATAAATAAATCATTAGTTATTACTACTGATATACTTATCTATGTATCTTATATATTTATTTAGATTCAACTATTAGCAACATTGGCAAAACATTGGTTCATTGGGAAAAATCACAATTCTATTATGAATAGTCCTAGACGATTTCATTTATCAACTAAATTATCGTTAACTTCAAGACAACATCCTATAGAATTCAGTATTAAAACATATTTATCCTATGCAAAACTTTTAGTGTTTCTATTTCGTTTAGGTTTATTACCACAAACAAATGAAAGATTCAATGATAAGTTAGTTTTGGTTTTTATTTTTTTTATGTTTCATTGTATTTTCAATAGTTCAGTATTATGATAACACCTATTGGATTGTTATTTGTCAATGTGTATTCAATCTTATTTAGTTATTTCCTTTCTCCTGTTACTCCCAATGGAACATAGGCCTCCGACCAGCATTCTTCAAACCATTCTGTCCTGGGCCTTCTTTTTTAGTTCTGTTCAATTTTTGTTCATTTTTCTCATGTCTGTTTCCATTTCTCGGTGTAATGTGTTCTTTGGTTTTCCTCTTTTCCTTTGGCCTTGACCTTGTGATGCAGTTGGGTGCTTTCCTCAATGTGCATCCTATCCACTTCTAGCGTTTCTTTCTGATTTCTTCCACCGCTTGGATCCGATTTGTTCTCTCCCATAGTAGGTTGTTGCTGATAGCGTCTGGCCAATAGAGTATTCAATCTAGTTTTATGTTAAATAAACATGCGCTAGAATGCCTAATTATTTTTAAGCCGATAGAAATCTAAACATTAATTTTTACTATCTGAGAGGACGAAAAGCAAATGTCCGGCACTTTAACCGGGTTAGTGGATATAGAGGATCCACGTAGGGGAGTTGGAATACCCTGATTCCAAACCAATGATGCATATGTGCTCCACGATCCTGAAGGAACAAATGGCATATGAACAAATTGTTGGTCACCGGCTACCATGGGACTACATCTCTTTACGATGCTCCACTGCCTTGTCGATCAGATCTTCAGGTCGAAGGTTCCAAGTGTGACCTCCTAAGAAAACCATCTATTTCGGTTCGGGCACTCGATAAGTATCATAACTCCACACACCAACGAACTTATGTGGCGCATATGTGCTTGGTGCCCCTCTGTACCAATATTTATGTGTTTAAATAAATCAATCAATCAACTGTTTGTATCTACATTTATATAGCTTGATAAATAGGGTAAGTAATTCTCATAGCTCCTAGCACTCAGACTACTTTGAACATCAGATATAGACAACTTACTACTCCCCGTCTTAGTTCCTACTAATTTTGAAAAATAAATGAACTTTTGACCGGGAAATATTTTCAAGTTCTTTACGAAAGTTGACAAGATGAAAAACTTTCTGTTATAAGAAATTTGTAATGGAATAAGATATGCCAATAGTTAAATGATTAAGACAATAAGAAAGTCATATAAATGAAATGTTAATAATTACTGATTAAAAATTAGGTAACTTTTGAAGTTTGTCTTGTATTCTTCTATTCATAACACCGCCTTTTTTTCATTATCAAAGGTTGTGTCACAACTATTTATAAGGTGCATGTCGTAGAGAAGTGGTTTACGTGATGATCATTGAAAAGTTACCAATTTCTTTAACTGAGATATTTAAAAGAGAAATCAATAAATATTGGTGATAATTATTGACTAGGATACCATTTTTTCCGAGATGGTGTAGACATTTTGTAGCTCGAGTGGAGTTTTGTTCTCTAAGCTGGACAGTATGATCTTAGAGCTTTCATTGTTCTTCTGAATAACACCATCAACATAAACTTCAGATGGAAGTGAGGTGTTTGAATTTCTCCACATGTGACTCATAGCTTATCCTGTCAACCAATAACCAATCAAGATCGAGGTCGACAGAACAAGCTATGAGTCCCATGTGGAGAAATTCAAACACCTCACTTCCATCTGAAGTTTGTGCTACTGATGATGTTATTCTGACTAAGAATGAAAACTATCCAGTTCAGAGAACAGAACTCCACCTAAATACTATCTTTCCCTACCGCTGCAGAAAATTGTATGATCTTCATTTAAATAATGCTTATCAATCATCTAATAACCACTTTACTAAAGTATACCTATTTAAATTTCATGTTTCTCTTTATTTAAACCGTCGTAACACCACGAATAACAATGAGAACACCAACTGATATCTTCCGTATATATCGCTCTTTAAATAATCTTACACTGTATATCAGTGGTATACTTGAAGTTAATGTTTTTTTTTAATGATTTTCATTTCAGTAAATTCTTTACAGATTCATCTTATCGAATCAATAGTACAGTTCTCTTACCGTACAATTCATCAATGCTAACTGAAACAATTTCTGAATTACGATGTACACGGCACCATCCTGTTGATCTTGATATGAATAATAATAATAATAATGATAATAATGACTGTAACACTAATCGATTAACATCTATTAGCGACCATATTCTTTATTCTTCACTTCAAGCACCATCAAAGCATCTCAATAATAGTAATCATACATTTGATAATTACTTGACTAATAGTGAAGTTCATGATATCTGGAAGGAACAAGAACACTTAACATCATCATCATCATCATCGTCATCATCAGCTACATTAAAACCAACAAATTCATCTCATCATTCTAATCAAAATCGCTCTTCATTAGATAATAATGAATTACCAAATTGGTTAAATTATCCACCGAATAATTTACAATCATTATGTGCTTTATGGCAATTGCCATATAATCGACAAATTAGAAAATCACGATTAATTATACTTGGATTTATATTATGTGATTCAGCAGCTGAAACATTATTTCATCAATCTAATTATGATGAACATTATAATGGTCTTATAGATGAAGATAATACTGATGTTAATAATAATGTTAGTAGCAATGAGAAGACTCAAACTACTCAAATGATTAATAATATCAAATCTACAAATTCCAGTAGTTTACGTGCATTACAACTGGTAAGTGTAATAAATTAGTTTCCCTATTTAATATGATATGATATTTGGCTGAATTACACACCTATCAGTCAGTCAGTCAGCTACAACGTAGGACCAGACACATATATACATCAGTCCAAGTTGCCATACCGCATTATCACAACAAGATAAACATCAAATTCGTAGAAATAGTCAGTCAGTCAATCAGTAACAATGTAGAACTTCGTACGTATGTACATCAGTTCGAGTTGCCGCACCACCTTAGCACAGAGATGCAGTTGTCGATTCCAATCCCGTACTGGTAGAGGTGGTAAGAGTATAAACAGTAATCGGAAAGATTAGGGTTTGAAGATGTTATTCAAAGAGTATAATCCAGTGAAATAAACCTGAAAAGGGAAAAGAAGAAACATGAAGAATTTAGAAGATTAGAATTTGGGAGAACACTTCAATAGTGGTAATATAAAAAAGAAAGATGCCGTATAAGGATATAGTACAGGGAGAAAGAAAGATATGAAGCAATTTTGATCTCATAGTTTAAGAGAAGACAATGAGTATAAACACCTACACCATTGTGATCGATTCTGAGCCATGTTACCCAGAGTCTCCAACCATTGGTTACAATAGTCGCACGGACTGCAACCAAGTAGTCTGTATCTACACACTTATCACCCAATCCTCTACCTGGGATTAAACATAGAATCTATAAAAAACAATGTGGTGCAGGTATGAAGATAAAATAATTTCAATTTTAGACATCCCTAATACGCAGTTATCAACTTATTAAGGAAAATTGGAGAAAACATCAATCATATCGAGTGATTTGATCAATGTAGTTTATCTATGAACCTTTGGTATTTAACTTTGTATAGGACTCAATAGAGTTAAACTATTGTCTAGTTTCTGATAGATTTTATTGATTTTCCAGTTGATTATCTAAGTATTCATTAGTCTAGAATTTTATTAATAGCTGTCTTGTTTTGCCAGTAGTCATGTTAATATGGCTAATTTCATCTTGTATCGTCACATATAGACATCATTCATAAAACCTTTGTAAAATTAGCCGTTTCGCTTTTGTTTAAAATTCTTTAACGGTGTATACCTGCAGTCAAGTTCAACTCAGTACCTTTAGATTTAATCAATTGTAACAGGATTGATATCACTAATATTGAAGATACCTTACTGAAGCCGAAATCATGTTAGAATAATGACTATAATACTGATCGGTAAATGATATGCTATTATATTATATGGTTGACTGATAGTTATTTACAAGATGGAATTATTTTTAAGTAAACCACCAGTCAGTCAGCTACAATGTAGGACCACGCACATATATTTGTCGGTCCAAGTTACCATACCTTATTAGCACAGCAAGATGAACATCGAATTCATAGAAGTAGTGGTGGTCGGGCTTGCCGATCGTGATGAACCAATCGAGCTATACTGGCTGGAACAACCGTTCCTCAAGGTTCTACCATGACAGATAGGTCGGTTGAAGAGCGGTAAAACTAAAAGAAACAAACCCAAGGTCCGAAGGTGAAGTCGTACTGCTGACTGTACAGAGGTGTGTCGGTAGTAAGATGTTTTATTCAGACAACCATTATAACAGCAAGGCTACCTTTCCACAAGGAGGGGTGGGGTTAGAAAACGTCGACCCTAAAAATGCACACATCGCCTTATCCCACGGATGTCCATCTCCGGCAACAAAGTCTCAACAAGTACACAGCTAGAACGAAAATTACTGACAAAAAGGTCATATGTGACCGACCTCAAGCAGTTATTCCTTGGGCACTGCGGTCACACTCTCATGCCAATAAAACCACCCCTAATCCAATTTCCTTTTCAGGTACCCCTGGAAGAACCCTTCCACGGTGTGGGCAACTGGGAAGTGATAATCGCCCTCATACCACTAATAGTATTCAAGACCACTATATTCAAATAAGCCACCACATGATTTTGTATGCAATAAAGGCAAAAAAATATCGGGTAGAATTCATTTTTCTTAGATGTAAAATAATTTGTACAAACAGTTTAACTTATATCTTAATTCTTATTTTTTCTTCATATTTTCAATTTCTATAGTGTCGTTATGTAATGTCTTTATTTATCAAAGAATTCCCTTCGGTTTATTCTCTTATCCCTACAATTATATCACTTTGGCTTATGGATCGTGGTTATTTTCAAGTAAATTAGAACAAAAAAAATTGTATTCATGTATTAATGATTAATTTGTATATTTGTTGTATGTTTTGTGTTTATTATTATTACCCTGTAATCATGACTTTCTTTAATGTGTATTTAGATTGATTAGAAAGATGAATTGTAGTTGGGCTAAATGAATTCAATTGGATGAAGTTTTGTTCTTTGAGCTAGATGATTTGGTCGTGGAGCTTTCATCGTTCTTCTGAACTTCAAACTTCAGATAGAAGTTTGAAGTTTGTGCTGATGATGTCGTTCAGAAGAACGATGAAGTCTCCACGACCAAATCATCCAACTCAGAGAACAGAACTCCATCAAAATCATCCATCTGAGCTACAAATCTTCTCCACCATTTCGAATTCACTTTGATATATATATTTCTTAATTGGATAGTAACAATGTCACTTGTTTCTGAAACCAAAGATAGAATAGTACGAAACACCAAATAAGAGGTACATCTACTTTGCTTCTGTTTATTTATTTACTATTTATTTAAACACATAAACATTAGTACAATGATGCACCAAATGGATATGCTCCACACTTCCTCATTCGATTTGCGTGAGGGTTGGGATACTGCTTGAGTGCCGAAACCGAAACAGGTGGTTTTCTTAGAGGGCTACACCCGAAGCCTTCGATATAAAGATCTGATCGACAAGGCAGTGGAGCATCGTAAGGAGATGCAGTTACATGGTAGCCGGTGACCAATAATTGGTTCATACGCCATTTGTTCTTTCAGGATCGTGGAGCCCATGTGCACGATTGGTTTGGAATCAGGGTATTCTAACTTCCCTAGGTGAATCCTTTATATTCACCAACGCAGTTAAGGCGTCGTACATTTGCTTTTTGTCCTCTCAACTTCACAAACAACACCCATGGTGCGAGAAGGCAATGAGTAGGACTTCCCTGGAAGTGGTCGTATGCACGTGGTCATATGAGAGGAGTTGGAGAGGGAGAGCTGACTCTCCCCACTCTCGGCTGTTCTAGGGCGTTTGGGGGCTACACCTACTTCGGTTCTGAACTAAGTATGGCTCATGTTTAATTACCCACTGAATGAGTTAATTTAAAGTTGTTATTTTTTTTAAGAGTAGATAGTCATAAGGTGTATGTGTATATTGGTTATGTCGACAAGTACCTAATACTAGTGACTATTGCAGGTAAATAGGTTTTCATTAAAGACCTTGATTATGAATCAACCAACTAGAAATACAGATAGAATCTTATACTAGTCCCGTTCTTCGAGATAATTAAGCAAAAACAACGTAGACTCTGATACGGATGTTTATTGACTGGAATTGTCACATTGCTAAATCAAGACGTTGAGAGGAAATGAACACATGAAAAAGTAGGGGAATTAGCTTAAAAACATCCATTGAAATGGTAAGGTAAAAATATGAAAAAATGTAGATCAAAATGAATAATTACCATTAATAAATGAAACGTTATGAACTATATGAAACTGAAGATTTATTGATAAATGAAGTATATCAGTATAGAGTTGTGGAGATAGTTTAGTTTAGATTGATATCATGAATCGATCAATGTTAGACCATCACTTAAAACCTAGAAGCACTGGACGGCTCACTAGTAACTGACTTCAAGACAGATTTCCTGGAGTTCTAGTGAGGGGTCGTGATCAGCAGAGTTCAACTGTGTCTGTTGTGAGGCAAATATTCACCAAAGACAATGCTGGACGGTCGTACAGTATTGTGGATTGGTTCAAGTTACACATTAACACCGTTGAATGTCGGCTCACAGTGGTCTAGAGGTTAACCATTGACGCGTGAGACCGAAGGTCTTGGGTTCGAATCCCGCGTGTGGGATCGTAGATACGCACTACTGGGGAATCCCATACTAGGACGAGACGGCCGTCCAGTACTTCTAAGTTTTCAGTGGTGGTCTAATATTGATCCATTCATGATATCAATCTAAAATAAAAAATAATTATAACTATGATTGCGAGAAATTTCAGTCCATTTCATCCAGTGTTTCTGTTTACATAAAATGCGATTATCATGCATGTTCTTATCAATAAATTCAAAATTACTAACAGAGCTTCGTTCAGTTATAGATAACTTCACTGGCAAATGTTATACCTTCGTTTGACACTATTCCTAGCACTCTCACAATCCACTCGTGTTATGTATCATTTGCACAACTACATACTAACTTATTAGTACAAGCTTATCTTATCATTGAACAGTTTAGTTGTTTTATGATAGAATGTATTGTTTATTCAAAGCCAACAGTCAATAGTATATACAGATTTTTCAATACTGTACCCTTTATTTTTGATGTTATAGACTCTTTTGTTTTTAGCAACCTCAATTAATGTGTAACCCCCATACTAAGTGAACGAATTCGCATCAGTAGTCATTATTTTGATTATATTGGTTAGTTTGTCTCAACCCCTGTAAACGTTTTGATCAATGTTTCTGTTGCAATCGACGTCTGAAATTAGAATGACTGAATGGATCCCAGTTATCATTTCATACATCATTATTTCTTAATTCTACCCAAACTATCTTTTATTTCGAAGTATCGGAAGAAAAATATAGCTAATAGACCTATGAAGGTAATCACTTTCAGACACACTATGGTAGATTGGTCAATTGCAGGGTAGTAAGACTAAAAGTAATAAACCTGAGTTCAGAGAATGAAGTCTTTTTATCTCACTTTACAAGAGTATAACATCACTAAGGTGTTTCTCTCACACATTTGGCATTTTCATTGATCTTGCCTTTTTACATTAAAAGGGGAAGGTAAAGAAAGGTCGGCCCTAAAAGTATAGCATACCCCACATTGTCCTACAGGTTTCCATCGTTCATGGTAAGGTTTAGAAAGTACAGAGCTGACACATCACTAACACTACTCATAAAAAAGACACTATTTGACTGCCTTTGAGCAGTTGTTCTTTTGGTTCTGCAGTCACATTCTCAGGTTGTTAAGACCAATCCTAACCCGATTTCTTCTTCGCTTCCTTGAAGAAGGTGCATCATTTCACATTGTGAACAATCTGTGAGTGATAACCACCATCATACCTCTAGTAACATCCAAGATTAATTTGTACTGGGCAAAGATGATTTCATGTGGAACAATTAAATCATACACTTCGAATGATTTCAATATTATTATCATCTTGTATTTATATTGTTTGAAATAACCTAATACATAATACACTTCTGTCTTTAAAGAAACCCATTTTTTTCCATTCTTAATTCCAGGAGTCCATATCCTCTGATATTATATCTTTCATTATGAACTCTACTGAAATTCAATCATCAATATCATCATACTATCATATCCATAACGATCTTTTTCCAAATCAAACTAATTTAATTATACATTTATTCAAGAAATACGGTCAAGGAGATTTAATTCATGACTTACTGAAACATTTAACCAATTATAATAATAACAATTCTTCATCATTGGATTACAATCCAAACAACTTGAAAGTACAACTATCATTTCAACAGTTATTCAATAAGATTACTACTATTACTACTACTACTACTACTACTAATTCTACCATTATGAATAATAATAGTGATCATAAATTAAACATGAAACCTATTGGTGCTCCATATTTGGCTTTATCAAAATTACGTAATTTAATTCATAAAATGAATCGTTTACACAATCAAACACCTTTACCAACGAAAGTATTGAATTCTGTTGATAAATTAGCTCGTAATTCTTTAATTCAATTAGCTGAAATATGTAGACAAGGTGAGATGATGTTTATAAGCAAAGATGGATAGTCGGTAGCGATGGGATCCAGGATACGCGTTTCGTCAACTGGATGTACTTGCATCTTAGAGAGTTCATGTTCACTCCGGGATTTGAATCCAGAACCGTTCGCTTCGAACACTATTGCGTTATCCATTTAGCTACTGAGTCCTGATAGCCACTTGCTTGTGCAGTATCAAGTGGATTTATATTGTCATTTTTGTTTCATGAAACATAATACCAGTTATCATGTCTGTTAATTTCGTTGATGATGATATCTAGGTTGATATCGAAACGTTTCTTATCTGACAATAATGTGATGTGTATAAATTATTTCAGTTTTAAATGTTTTCTTATTAAGTTTTGATTAGTAACTAGCATTGAAGTCCAATACATCCTTAGGACTCGTTAAGTCAATATACCCGTTGACGTCCACATTACTATTCTAATGCTTCAGAGACTTATAATCTAGATTACTAAGTTATGATAATCACTAACTCAATATTTTCATTTAACAAGCCTATTATACTAACAGAAACGGATCAGATGCAAAATGTGAATATGAATAGTAAGAAAAAATATAGATCTTCACGTATAATAATTCAGGAATGATAGGCTTTTTTGCGTGTTGTTTTGAATCAATGTCATATTGTTTCTCAACATAAGGGAGTTTGCAGGGATTCCTAAGTTCTATAGTCTAAATCATGCATCAACCACCAAATGTCAAGTCAGTAGTCTAAATTTTTATCGCTCTTCACGAGACCCGAAAGTCTTGGGTTTGGTCCTCAATGAGCTCATGGGTACTCAATGCTGAGTAGTCCTGTACTACTACAATGAAACAGTTACCTAGTTTTTAATGATCTTGGTTTAAACTATGAAATTCTATTTGTACTCCTTAGATGTTTACTGCATTAATCGATTTTATCTCTTTGTTTCCTTGGTTTTTCTTTCTTGATTTATTTAGCTGGTCGTTTAAGTGATTTGATTAGTTTAGGTTTAAATAGTTGGGAAGCAAAAGTATTATTTGAATATTATGAAAAAACTGGACAACAGAATTTATTATTTCATTGTTTAATTGCACGTTCACAATATCAGGTTAGTATTTGTATCTGTAATTTCAATTGTGTTTCCGTATCTGTGTACATAAGTATGTATACACTTGGGTACATCTTTTATAATTCAAAATTGATGGGCAAATCTAGTGTATCCGAAATTTAATATATATTTTTTAATACCTAATATTGACCTTTAAGGCCTCTAAATGCCTTGATATGACCGAGGATAGGGAGAGTCCGCTCTCCGCCGAAAAATACTCTCACATGGCTACACATACACAACCATTGCCGGGGAAGTACTAGTCATTGTTTTCTCGCGGCAAGGGTGTTATTTACGAAACTGAGAGGAAGGGAAGTGAATATTTGGCTTTTAAACCAGGTTGGTGGATATGAGGGATGCACCTAGGGGAGTTGGAAAACCCCGATTCCTAACCAAAGGTGCACATGGGCTGCAGGGTGCTGAAGGAACAAATGGAGTTCGAACCTACTGTTGGTCACCGACTACCATGAAACAGCATCTTCTAACGTTGCTCCACTGCCTTGTGGATTAGACCTTTAGGTCGAAGGCTCCTTGTGTGGCCCCTTTAGAAAACCACCTATTTCGGTTTGGGCAGTCGTGCAGTATCACAGCCCACACACAAATCAATGATAACTGTTTAGCGCGTATGTTTTTGGTACCTCTTTGTATCAATTTTTATGTTTTTAGACAAATAAATCAATGAAAAACATCAATTATCACCACTCTCAATAAATGTATATCAAAAACAGCTTTTGGATTAGTTAGGGGAGGCCAAACCAAAACGTGACATCAATCCACGAAGTCACTAACTTCTAGTCTAAGCCATGTTAGTAGATGGAAACTACTTGGTTGGGGTCAGCGTTACTATCGTAACCGATGGTTGGAAGCTCTGTGTGACATGGCTCAGAATAGATCACAATGGCGTAGGTGTATACACTACTTGTCTTCCCTTAAACTCAGAACTTAAAATAGCTTCATATCTTTCTTTTTACACGCTAATTCTTCCTTCCTGTACTACATTCTTATATTACCACCTCTGAATTACCTACTTTTATGAATCCGGTGTTCATCTTGTTGTGGTGATGAGGTATGGCAACTTGGACCGATGCATATATGTGCTTGGTCCTACATTGTAGCTGACTGACCTACGATCTTATATTCAAATGTTTACAGTCTATTCCTGTACTATATTTTGTTGAATGACAACTTTTTCTATTCTTGTTAATTTGTAGACTGCTTTGGAAATATTTAATAATTCCCATGGTGTTTTACCATATCATAAAACTAGATTGTTACATGGTAATACAACTAATCCAACTGTTGATCATGATGAACATGTTCAACGATTACAACAACTTGATTTAATGATACAACTAATGAATTCATGTCTTCCATTATTAAATACAAATAATGAATTCAATCAAAAATCTATTCCATCTAATTATTATAATCAAATGGATCATTATAAAGCATTAGCAAATGAATATGTTAATATGGATGATATTCAAACGAATTCTGAATCATCTTCATTCATTCATCATAATGATGATGATGATGATCATCATCATCATAATATAGTTGATAATAACATATTCGAATCAATTCATCATCATCAACCATCATCATTATTATCATCATCATCATCATTCACCCAATCACAATCATCATTACCACAAATGGATCATGGGAATTTTATCGCTTATAAACAAACTACTCCATTAATATATCCATTAACTGATTTAAAGAAATCGAATCAATTAAAAAAACCTACATTAAATAAGTATCAATTGAATTCTCGTATTGGTAATCCGTATTCATATGACAATATGGATGATAACAATCATGATGACGATGATGATGATCGTCATCTCATAGAAGATGAAATTATTAGAAATAATCGTATTAACAAATCAAATTCATGGTTATTAACTACAAATAAAAAAAGTCGACAAGAATTTTGGAATACATTCAAAGAGTTAGTTTCCTATTGTGTTTTTTTGTTTCTTTTTTTTATCTTGATCTAACGGTCAGCAGAAATGCAGATGTATTTTAGCAGAGGAGTTGGAAAACCTTGATTCCAAACCAATGGTGCACATGAGCTCCAGTATCTTGAGGGAACAAATGACATATGAACCAATTATTGATCACTGGCTACCATGGGACTGCATCTCTTTATGATGCTCCATTGCCTTATGGATCAGATCTTTAGGTCGAAGGCTCTGGGTGTGGGGACCTCTAAGAAAACCATCTGTTTCGGTTTAGGCACCCAGGCAGTATCACAGCCCTCATACAAGTCGAATGATTTATGTGTCGCATATGTATTCGGTGCCTCCTTGTACCAATATCTATGTGTTCAAATAAAATTAGCGGAGCAATATAAAGAGGTATTTCAGTTGTAATCAGCTAGTTGGTTGTATAGTTCCATAATATAATTTACATCCACTTTTACATTTAAATGTACATGATAACAGATAAACAGTTTTGCTGAGGTATATTACTAACTGAATAGAAGAAAATGAGCAGTGAAAATAATTGTTTACCTTGATAAAATATGCCATGTGTCATAGTTGAGTAAAATTATTAGAGGTAAATCAAAAAATAGTAGTTTTGTTCGATCAATCAGTTGTACTCATACGACAAAGGTGTATTACTCAGTCAGTGAATACAGTGGTCTTGAGTGCTGTTAGAGGTATGAGGGCGGTTATCACTTCCCAGTTGCCCACACCGTGGAAGGGTTCTTCTGGAGGTACCTCAAAAGGAAATTGGATTACAGGTGGTCTTAGTGACCTGAAAGTGTGACCCCAGTGCCTAAGGGATAACTGCTTGAGGTCGGTCATACATGACTTTTTGTGAGTAATTTTCGTGTTAGCTCCGTACATGTTGAGACCTTACCGCCAGAGACGGATATTCGTGGGATAAGGCGAGGGTCGACCTTTTCTAACCCCACCTCTCCTTGTGGGAGGGCAGCCTTACTGTTATGCTGGTTGTCTGAAGGAAACACCTTACTGCTGTCACACCTCTGTACAGTCAGCAGTACGACTTCGCCTTCGGACGTTGGGTTTGTTGCTTTTAGTCTTACCGTTCTTCAACCGACCTGTCTGACATGGTAGAACCTTGAGGAAGGATTGTTCCAGCCAATATGGCTCGATTGGTTCACCATGATAGGCAGTCCCGACCACCACATCAAGGTAGCAACAACCGTCAGGAGGTGTATTACTTCAAGTTGCTGTGCTATATTAGCACGGCAAGATGAAATTCTGAAGATAAATACCAGGTTACTAGAAGCTGAAAGAGCATCAGCAGTAACAGAAAAGATTAGGTATAGAAAAGGAGAAAAAGTATAAGGAGATTGTAGGACCCAGGTTCCAAAGAAAGACAAGAAGTGAATGGATATACGCCATTATGAATAACTCTAACCTTTGGCTATAATAATCTTGCAGACCCCAATCAGGTAGTCTGCACTAACCCATACGGTTCAGTTAAGGAGTCAGCGTCTTCATGGACTGATGCCATGTCTTGGTTTGGCCACACTTGACTTTCTCCCAAACCACTTCTATATTAGACAACATCGCCCATCGAGATTAGCAGTGGTTGGGATAATTGTCGCATATGTCCAACCACTTAACTTGATGAAGATTTACAACCTCATCAATCGATTTACCATGTTCACCTTCTCATTTTTCCAATGATGACAGAAGTATATTTTTAGTTATGTGTGTATTAGTTATTCATTTGGGAGTGACAATAATAATAAGAAAAATTCTGTTTTCACTTCGTATATAGACTTCGAGCCATACATCTAATTTGATGTTGTTGCAACATGGTCGATGGCATTCGATCCGTACTAATAAGGACTAGATACGCATGACATTGATCGCTACCCAGTGATCAACCAATTGTGATTCTATGGCCTAATTGGTTCAATTGCAGAGCTTTCATCAGTACTTAATTTGTTTAGTAGTAAGCTTCCATAAACGCTAAATCATTCCGTTATGGTGTCCTTCTTTGCAGTTGGTTGTTTCTGTAGTTTTCGTTTTGCTCATTTGCCTTTTTTTCTCAAGTCAATTTTCGTGTTCGATTGAGCTCTGATAATGTGGTTGTTTGAATTTTTTCTTATGGGTTGATAGATCGGTTCGATTTTGATCTGCAAACTGATTGTCGGTAGACCTGAATACCATGCTTCTTGAAATTTTCTAACATTCAAAGTTTCTCGATCCAGAATTTCGATGTTTTTTCCAGTTGAATTCACGTCTTTGATTGCCTAAATGTATTGGTATTAGCAATAACGTAACTCGTCGTTTCACTGATAGTTTATTTTTGTATATAAGTTTATGGGCGCTCATTTTATCTAATATAGTGGTTACCTCAGTTGGTATAGGTTAGTTTCTAGATGATATTACATCAGTTTTCTTTCTATATTGCGTCTTCCGATCTGCATAAAAAAGGGGTAAATTGATTGCGTTTGTTAATATGTAACATTGATTTCTGTATTTTTAAGACTTAGTAAGTGATCTACTGTTCTACGACTCCAATTTCTCATTTCTACAAACTGGCGTTTTCATTTTTCTTTATTTTGGAGGTATCAGTTGTGGTAAAACACTCAAATTGGTGTCATATATATTGAGGGAAAGGGTTTCTATTTGCATAATTGTTTGTTAATATAAGAAATCTTTAAGAAAACCTAGAAGAACATCAGTTGGAATTTACCGATAAAAGTATACTTTTATACAGTTCATTATTTGTTTAAAAGTCATATATGATTTACTTGAATCTCAGGGATCGTTTGGATTAATCACTTCTAGAATACATTTATATATAACTTCCTATGAAATAGAATGGTGCCTCACCACATCACGTTCGCATATTCACAGTTATGGTTTATGGATTCATAAAATATGCACACTCACAACTCCATACAAGATTAAACTGATAAGTCCTGCTAATTGAACTCTATATTCGGTTCCTAAGCTATTCTCATAACCTCCAAGCTAGAACTATACAGCGACCTGAACACGAGAGAAAAGGCACAAAATATGCGAGAATCACTTTACTCCAAAGATTCGTTTTTGTACAGAAAATCTAGGGTTTTTATAGTATTTTTGATATCCTTGGGTTTCCGGAAAACTCCGAATCCTACCAAACATAGTAGCAGTATAGTAATCACCCAATCAAAAACTCTACTTGTGACTTTTCATTTTCTTGATGTTTCTGGGTAAACTTCTAGTGGACGCTGATAGGATAAAATGCTTCTTAATGTTTCCTGAACCTTTCTTGTCTTTTGTGAGAGGTTTTCTGGATCACCCTAACATAAACTCATGACTTCCAAGTCTCATCATACAGGCTCTTTATATATAGATCGCTAAGTTGAAAATTAATTTTCTACATTATGATTATTATAATACTTAAATCATCTTTCTATAAAGTTGTCTTTGTTTACATATTGAATATAGATTACAAGATCTTCATGAAAGTTGTGGATTAAATTCAAATATTTGGTTAAATAATACTCGTTGTCGTCTAATGGATTATACTACTATTAATACTACTAATTCAACAGTAGTAACACCAACACAACCAGTTAATTTAAATGAATCTCGATTGAAATTAAATAAGAAACGTGAATTCCCTTCGAAAGATGATGATCTTGGCAAGTACTTGTTTAAGTAAGTTTATTTATTTAATAAGACTTTCTTGTATTATGGCACTTTCTTTATCGTTCTAATCTGCTTTACGGATGCGAAGATTGGCCATTAAGTGTAGACGATACTCGTAAGTTGCTAGCATTTGACAATAGATGCCTTAGAAACATTGCTTGTGTCTTTTGGGATCACCGGGTAAGTAATAGTAAAGTCAGACGCAGAGTATTAGGGAATGATGATAAATTAGTCGATGAGGTTGTAAATCTTCATCGACTGAGATGGTTAGGCTACATGTTACATATGCCTGACCACCGATTACCAAGACGCACAATGCTGACTAGTGTTTCGGATGGTTTGAAGAAAGTTAGGGGCGGCCAAACCAAAACGTGACATCAGTCCACGAAGTCACTAACTTCTACTCTGATCCATGTTGGTAGATGCAGTTTAATTGGTTGGGGTCCGCGTTACTATCGTAACCGATGGTTAAAGACTGTGTGACATGGCTCAGAATCGATCAGAATGGCGTAGGTGTTTACACTCTTTGTCTTCCTTTAAACTACGAGCTTAAAATCGCTTCATCATATCTTTGTACGAGCTAATTCTTTCTTCCTTTACTATATCCTTTTACGGCATCTTTCTTTTTTATATTACTACCATTGAAGTGACCACTTGTATGAATTTGGTGTTTATCTTGTTGTGGTAATGAGGTATGGCAACTTGGACCGATGCATATATGTACCTGGTCAGACGTTGTAGCTAACGAACTGACTTTCTTTATCGACGTTTGTAAAAAAAAACATATACGTGAACTCAGATTATAAGCAACTTATTTTACAAAACTTAAAGTATGGTATCTATTTCATCTTCTTTAAAAATACTCACATCTTCTTGGCAATGTACTTGTTTCATCTCTTATTCTTTTGTTCTTTAGAACTTCTGATTATGCATACCAATTAATTGCCTTGTTTCAAATTTTTCTCAGTCAAAAATATTTTGACTAGAATCGTATTTACAAACAGTCTCACAAATCCATTTCATTTGCAATCATCCAAACAGCCAATTGGTGGTCGTAAAACACCAAAGACACTATATCCTACCTTTTCATAAACTTAATTGATCGATGTTTGTCTTGTCCTTGTATCGTCGTTGCATGTTTCACTAACTCTAACAATTGATTCCTGGGTTCTTTTTTTTTAGTAATGCAACCCCATCTTTCAAAGTAGCTTTGTCAATCCTTTCCGTCGTACAAATTAGGCAAAGAACTAGTGAACATCTCTTTTCAATGTCCAGATATTATCATCAAAATCCCAATACACGACTTTGTTTTATCACATTGTTATATCAGTGGTCGCATTGAATGATAAAAATGAAGGATTTTACTATCGAATTCATCAATGGATCTCTTATACACATAATTGGATGTATAGAAATACATGTTCACAGCCTTTCTAGTTCTTCGTGTTCGAAAAAATTTTTTTTATTAAAACCGTCGATGAGACTATATTTTATGGACGACCTGTGAAGGAATCACAAGTGACCTTGAGAAATACCAACCAATCAGAAAACAGTTAGTATAGAATTAAACTATACTATACAAAACCAAAGAATTAAAGTGGATACACTTCTTTTACTTGGTTCAAAAATTTGTCAACGTTAGAAAGCGGTTCAGAGGTTCTGAAATTGTAATGCATACGTTAGAGGATAACATCTATATGGTTACATATTAGTAGGCCTCTGGAGCTATGATAAGGTCGCAAAAACTCTTTCAGCTTCTACCATATAGCTTCAAAATTGTTTATGTGCACTCTGGTTGTGTGGGTCCACAACATGCCGCTTGTGGATAACGACACGATGCACGTAGCCAAGTCTATTTAGGCATCTGTACGCTCTCCAATCATCCGCATATATTGTAATACCCGGCTGCAGCCAGTGTTACTGGTGCTTTTATTATCCAGTTCGTAAGAATTATCATAAATTGCATTAGTCCCAATCTGGATCGAGCGAAAAAAACCTATTCTAGCAGACTTCTTCATCCAATACACATAACATCGGAAGACAACATCATCACGGTAGTCTGCACAAAGACCACAAATCATTTGATTACCATAATCACAAATAAAGGAGTTTCTTAGTAATCCCATTTGTTTTAGCCGCTCAATTATCATGTTTTCTCTCAAAATCTGCTGTGAACCAGTCGTACGTAAACATCAGGTACTGAAATAGACACTGTGACATTGAATTCCTTCAAACGCTTCTGATTGGCTCGTCCATAAATTATAGTCTTACCAAGTGTTGATTATGCTTAAGTCGTATCTCTAGTTGAAAAGAAAAATATTGTTCTTGTAATTTGTAATGTGTATGTATCACTATTCTCATTGGAATAATCTACATTCTCTCTTCTGTTATTTTAATCATATCTAGATGTATCTATACACCACCATCTTGCGGACGTAAACAAATTCATTCAAATACAATAACAAATCGTTTAGTGACATCTTCTAATTCATTATTCAACAATTCAATATCAAGTCCATTTAATCAAAAACCAATTTCTATATTAAAGGTTAGTTAATTATTTATTAGAAATGATAATAATTACTTGATCCTTATAGTGAATTGTTTTCTGTTGCTACTGAGTGTCCATGACTAAGATGATTTTTTGAAAAAAAGGTTAACTCCAAACCTTTAATCGTCGAGAATGTTGGATCCTCAGAGCTCACTTGGTAAAGGTTACATTTTTGTAGTTTTATTTTGAGGAATTATGATAAGTCTTGCTAATTGAACACTAGATTAGATTCCTAAGTTCTTCTAGTAACCCTTAAACTAGATCTATACAGCAGCGTGAACACGAGAGAAAAGGCGTGAATTATGGAGGAAACGTTTTACTCTGAAGGTTCATTGATGTACAGAAAATCTAGGGTTTTTATAGTATTTCAGATGTCCTTGAGTTTCCGGAAAATTCTGGAACGCTACTAAACATAGTAGCCGTATAGGTAATCATCCAATCAGAAACTCGACATATGACCTTTCACTTTCTAGATGTTTCTGACAAAACTTCTAGTGAATGCTGATTGAATAAGATGCTTCTCAATGTTTTCAAAGCTTTTTTCTAGGAGTTTTCTGAATCTCCACAACAATTTGAATTTCTCATTTTCGCGCCAATGGTGCATATTTTTAACTTCAAATTGTATTTACCATTTCGGCGGACCTTAGTTATCATTGGTTCGTTTCCTATTTTAATACTCTATTTTTTGACGTTTCCCAAGGACATTATATACTGCATATATATGCTGAAGTTATGTGCTTGTTCGTTTGTGTTTCCGACTGCTTGCGGAATGTGTTTTTCCCTCGTTTGAATCTGGTCTTCTCCCTCTTGTTTGCAGGACTGGTGCTCAGTGATATAGTTTAGCTTGTCTTGTTGTTGTGTTGTTGACCTTTGTTCCGTTCGTTCGTTCAGGTAATATCTTAATGTCTTCAGACGTAGTACTAACACACCACCTTTAGTTTTACAGATTTTTAGTATTAGTTATACAATTATTTAATTACAGTGCTCAGGTGAGAAATACTACTCATATAAAAGATCTTTGATGATAGTGCCCAACTAACTCTCTCTTTACTTTTTCGTTTTTGCTGTTTTATCAACATTATTTTTAGTAATAATTCAGATTCTTTTTAAGACCTCACTAATATGTGAAAGACATCCTCAGTGGTCTATAGGTTAAGGGTTCGTGCGCGCGACCAATAGGTTCTGGGTTTGAATCGCACTGGGTGTTTATCGTGGATGTACACTGCTGAGGAGTCCCACAATAGAACAAAACAGCCATTCACTGCTTCCAGGTTTTTCATGATGGTCTAGCTTCAAATAAATCATGATCTCAGCTATTAGATTATTAATACTTTACAGTTGTCCACATCAACACTTTTTAATCTTTCATACTAGAAACTATCAGAATCATTACATAGTTCATTTTAATTCCATATCGTTGTGCTTGGATGATCATTTGGTAGACTGGATCAATAGAAATTGATCAGTACTTAGGAGATTATGATGCAGTTTTGGTGAGACTATAATTTATGAACGACCTTTGAGGGACGTTAAAGTGACATTGAGAGTTTTCATCTAATAACTAGGACCAAATGTGGGTTAAAAACCAGTGTGATGAATTAGAATTATGATTTACAGTTCATGGTTAGGGTTAGGAATTAGATTAAAGGTGTTCATCACGAACTGACATCAGCTATAATGCTAAAACTCTATTTATCCAAATGGATGAGTGAATTTCGCGCGAAAATCTAAGTCCTGTTATCTTAGTTCTGATTGATTCGTCCGTAAATTGTAGTCTCGCCTCAATTTTTATGAATGATAAACTGTGTAATAATTTGATTATTTAAACATTGATTCATTGTTAGTAGTACCCATTTACTGTTAGTACCTTTTTATTGTTGTTGTTAATATGTTTAGACTAAAATGTGTCTATCGAATAAAGAAATTTCGGTTTCGACAATGTCTGACTCGATGAAAACGACGATTACAACAACAACAGCAGCAGCGACGATTGTTTCTTCTTCATCTTCATTATTCTCCACTTCTTTGAATCCTGTCATATCGTCCTCCTCCACATCATCATCATCATCTTTATCACGTTCAACATATACAACAAATGTAACAAATTGTAGTAATATAAAAAATTCATCACATCTAATGAATGAAAATAATTTGCTAAGAAATGAATTAAATCTTATTAAAAATACTACTGATCAAGAAATCAGTAATAAAATTTATGATAATAATGATGATGATGATGATTGTGATGTCACGTTAAATTTATCAACTGTTCGTCCAAGTAAGTAAAAGTTGATAATAATTTATGTATATTAAAAGAGTAACAAGTTGAGAGAACAGAAAAAAAGTGAAAGAAAAGAATAGTGTTACTATCATCAATAATTATCTCTCTTTAGATCTTAAGTTTCAGTTTTTATGCATACCTTATCCATACCCCCCCCAAATACCCTGGTACGGCCGGGAGTGGGGAGAGTCAGTTATACTTCCCGAAATGCTCTCACATGGCCATGCGTATAGAGCTACTCCAACAGAAGTTCTAGTCACTGCCTTCTCGTGGCATTACTGTTGTTTACGAAATTGAGAAGACGAAAAGAGAATGTCCGTCGCTCTAACCAGGTTGGTGGATACGAAGTATCTACGTAGGGGAGTTGGAGAACCCTAGTTCCAAATCAACGGTGCACATGGACTCCAGAATCTTGAAGAAACAAATGACATATGAACCTATTATTAGTCATCGGTCACTATGAAATTGCATCTCATGACGTTGCTCCACTGCTTTATGGATCAGACCTTTAGGTCGAAGGCTCCGGGAATGGTCCCCGATTTGTGCACTCGAGCAATATTACAGCCCACACACACAAATCAATTGACTTGTGTGACGCGTATGTATTCGATGCTCTTTTGTACCAATATTTATGTGTTCATATAATAATAATAATAATTTATTCTCAGATGGGTTTTGTGGATATTATAGTAATTTCGATGGTTAAGATCATGAGTTCGAATCTCGCAGGAGGCGAGGTCGTGGATGCGCACTGCTGAGGAGTCCCACAATAGGACGATACGACCGTCCAATGCTTCCAGGTTTTCCATGGTGATCTAGCTTCAACTAACTCATGATCTTAACCATTGAAATAATTTGTTCGTTTATACTATTATGAATATTACAATTATTTGAACTTTTTCATTATTCATCCTTTGATTTTCATCAGGTTATGTTGATTTGATATGTAGATTTAGGTAAATACACATTTGTATTTGGTTTTTCACTAGTTATAATTCACTGAAAATTCATTCCCAATGTTCAATGTAACTTTCAAGGGAAATCATGTTGTTAATGATCTATTGAACTATTTGTGATCTAGAATTGTACAAAACCAAATGTTGTAATGTGTGTGACTGCAGGTTTTTATAAGCAGCGTTTTATTGATCGATTCGGTGACAGTGGACACGTAAGGACGACCTAGTGCCCTGATTGGCCCCGCTTCGCTGTCTGTCCTAGCCAGTTGAGTCGAGAACACAAGTCACAGCCTCTGAGTTATGAATCATTATATTTCAAACATACTTTGTTTATATACCAATCAAGCATACCACATCGTACCATAAAATAGAAAACAACATTTACACAATATTTAACAAGTGAAATAAACATCGACCAATAGGAAATGTACATTTAAGGTCCAAGGCCACCATAGACTTAACACAATCTAATACTGTTGTCTCTATTATGAGACTCTTCAGCAGTTTTACCATGATGGTCCAGCTCATTTTATTTTTTTTTTCATTTTTAAACTAATTTTCCCCATAATAATCATCTAAATTATTTTCCTTTATAAAAAAAACAAAACAAACAAACAACAATCTACTTTAGGTATTGTGAATACAGAGAAATTTCAGCATAAATTATTACAGGATAATGTAAATAATAAATGTAATGAATTCACTTTCTCCGTTCCTCATCGTCTCTCTTTAACACCATCGAATACAGTAAGTTATTTTTGTAGTTGTTGTTGTTGTTGCCTTTTTTCTGTTTCCACCTGGTTTCGATTCTTTTTTTTCATGAATTTATATTCATCATAGTTTATAGTTGTGAGTTGGATGGTGGATACCCAGTGAAGTGTCCCATATTATAAAGTCAAACAGTTGTACAGTACTTCATACTTTTCAATATAAATTCGTATGTGAGGTTGTGAATCTTTACCGATTGAGATGGTTAGACTATATGCAATGCTAAATAATGTTGGGGATGGTTGGAAATACGTTAAGGGTGTCTAAACCAAATAAGCGGCCTGCTTAAATATCTGGGCTACTTATTCTTGCCAACAATGGTATAGGAGTAGGTTGGAAGAAAGCTAGGGGCGGCCAGACAAAAACATGGCACAAGTCCATGAAGTCACTGAGAAGTGGACTGAGTCATGTTGATAGGTGTAGACTACCTGGTTGGGGACCGCGAGATGATAGCAACCGATGATTAGAGACCCTGTATGTCATGGTTAACTGGATTATACTCATTAACTAACATCTTCAAACCCTAATCTTTCCGATTACTGTTTGTAATTTTACTACCTCTACCACCATTATGGTATTTGAATCGACAATTGTATTTTGATGCTAATATACTATGGCAACTTGAACTGATGTACGTACGTACGAAGTTCTACGTTGTTGCTGACTGACTGAGTCATCTAACATCTGAACAATATTATTTTGTTAAAACTCTCATATAAATACAGAATACATCATCTGTACAATGAATAATTGAACAAAGATTATTATTGTTATTATTATTAATATTATTATCAGCTTAATTCAATATTACATTTTTGGAACAATATAGAATTCTCAGTGCAAAGTATTTCAAAAAGTTTCCGTTGCTTATTTCTTGATCAATTCTGACAACAAATATTGAATGATCACCAATTTTAGTGGAGCCCGTAATTCTGTCTTCATTTAGATCAAACAATATTGTCGACAGGGCTCTCCACTTTAGTGGCCAGATATCTGACTCCAATTAGATCGTAATGATGATTGTTTTTGAAATATATATGTCGCCTATCCATCGACTTTAATCGCGTTAGTCAATAACGGATTTAGATGAGTCAAATAACGAGAATGGACTTTTGAATACATATATTTTGTATATGAAGTGAATGGAAAATAGAGAGAAGAGATACGATGCAGAGTGGAGATGGCTGGTAAGCAAACTCCCCTTTAACCAAGAGTTAATCAATATTTATAGTTACACAAAAGTAAGTTACAGACATGTGATGATTAATGGGATAAGAAATCTACACACACCTACGCGCTCATATAAAAACCGTCAAGATTGATAAGCGAATCAATAACAAGGTCAGAATGTGGCTCAAGTAGAATGAATAGAATGGGCTGTCCGAAAGCTAGAATAAGGTATATGGGCTTAGTATAATAACCGACACCACACAATCAGATGTTAATCGTTCAGGAATCGATATCTAGATAATGTACTTTCTTTTCGATGTACATTGCCAGCAGCTACCATATCTCTAATAATGTTCTTTCCTAACGTATACAACGAAACTTTTCACAAACACACCTGAATAGGTTATGCAATTAATTGATATAATGATATATTAAAAAAACAGATGACTTGTTGAAATATCTAGATCAGTCAGTCAGTAACAACATAGAACTTTGTACGTACGTACATACATCAGTTCAAGTTGCCATACCACATTAGCACACTGATACTATTGTCGATTCAAATCCAACAGTGGTAGTAAGATTATAAGCAGTAATCGGATACATTAGGGTTTGAAGATGTTATTCACAGAGTATAATCCAGTGAAATAAATTTGGGAAGAGGAAAGAAAGGGACATGAAGAATTGAGAAGATTAGAATTTGGGAGAACACAAAGAGTGTATGCATCTGCGCCATTGCAAACGATTTTGAGCCATGTCATTCAAGGTCTCTAAGCATCGGTTGTTATCGTTTCGCGGATCCCAACCACGTAGTCTACACCTACCAACATGTTAGATGATTAAAATTTCTAATATAAAATCATTGAACTTGTTGAATACTATCAAAGACGATCACACTATACAAACTAACTATTTCTCGATATGATTTGTCTTATTATTGCTATTACAACCGAGTATTTTGTCCAACTTATTTATAAACTACTCAAATCGAACAGTAGTAGTACAGTTATGCAACATAAAGGAAATTAGGGTATCATCAAATTGTCTCACTGTTCATATCCTTTTTTTCTCTTTTTTTGAATTCTCTTCTAGTAATTTTGTTTTGTTTTATTTTTCGCCTCCTTGAAATAGCCAATCGTTAATAAATCTATGGAAAAAAACGAATTTCTATTTTCAGCACCATTAGTAAATAAAACAATTAAACATAATCAGTCCATAGATAATAATATTGACAAAGTTTCAGTTTTACCAATCTCAATGGATGAATCAAATCAATCCTCTTCGACTGCTACTACTACTACTACTACTAACAATAATAATAATGATTTTTATGAGAGTACTATAAATTGTGATCAAATGAATACGGCGAAGACCACGTAAGATTTCTTCGTATAAAGATAGTAATTAATTATCAGTATAGGGTTGTGAAGATTATTATGCTTTTGATTAAGATCATGAATCGATTGATGTTAGACCACTATTGAAAACCTGGAAGCATTGAACGGCTATTTCGTCCTACCGTGGGACTTCTCAGCAGTGCGCATCCACGACCACGAAAGATGATCGAGCAATTCGCGGATTGGTTGAGGTCAGACATTAACACCATTGAATGCCGACTCAGTAGTCTAGAGGTTACGCGTTCGCATGCGAGATTGAAGGCCTTGGGTTCTAATCCCGCGAACGGGATCATGAATGTGCACAACTAAGGAGTCCCACAATAGGACGAATCGGGTGTCCAAGTTTTCCATATTGGTCTAATATCAATCAATCAATGTTTTGAAGGCTCACAAATCCATCATTTGAATGTGATTTCGTGGGAAACCGCGGCTTCACAGGTCTTTGCATGTATCTTGGTATCGTAAGAAGAACAAGAAAGGATTTTTGAAGTTTTTAGTTACCGTGGATATGTATAGTCTACATGCATACTAGGTAATACATGGACTTTCATCCGAGTATTCCTTGGTATACATACAGGTATACCTACCCTTGTGAGCACATATACGTTACATGCATGGCGGTAACACATAGGTTTTATCCCATGCATCCCATAGCATACATATAGGTATATTCCCATTTGGGAGAGATGTTCACCGCTCCCTTAGGGACGTATTTGCTACGACAGACTTTCTTACATATTACATACCTATCATCCAATCTATAGCTACCACCCCAGTACTTCCTAACACCACGCATAAGCATGCTCTCAGGTAAGGTTGTTGGTCGCCTCTTCCTAGTATTTGCTACCATATAATTTTATTATGCCTTCGATCTGATAGAATAGGCCGCTGATTTTATTAGACATTGGACAGACAATATTTCACCTAGAGTTTCCTTTGTACGACACCACACACTTTACATATGCCTATATTCATGAACTACATAGACCCAAGGACTTCTGTAATTCTCTTACGTAAGCATACACATCAGGTGGCCCGGTGCGGTTTAGTAAATCTCGAGTTGGAACCCGAGTTAATTAAGGGTGTCACAAAGTGGGTGATCAGTCCTATATCCATCGACTGCCTATGTTGGCCTGCAAGGTTGCCTATACTATCCAGCAGCGCCGCGAGGAGGCCTTAGGTCGGATTTTGCTGCCACAGGTAAATAGTGCATTTATTATTCAATTTTAACTCTATATAGTCTATACTGGTGATAAGGAATGAAGTAGTAGAGAATGCTGATCACCTTACTTATCTCTTTTAAATGTCATTATCATTAGCTTCAGAAAGGTCGCTTAACTTTTGCAAATTAAAGCCATTTTTTGGGTAAACAAAATTTCCATCTGGCAACAAACGGAAGAGTATACTGTACAACATTTCACTTTGTATTATTCTACAACTGTGACATATGAACTATAGAAGTGTAAAACCTTTGTAGGTTTCAGGTATTTTGATCATACCATATATCATGAAACAATCGAATAAGCTATTTCCGAATCAAACATTTTGAGCATATCTAAGGGCTACATAATTTAGTCTATCAGTTATTAACTTCATAATGAATACAGTGGTCTTGAGTGCTGTTAGAGGTATGAGGGCGGTTGTCACTTCCCGGTTGCCCACACCGTGGAAGGGTTTTTCTGGAGGTACCTGAAAAGGAAATCGGATCACAGGTGGTCTTAGTGACCTGAGAGTGTGACCGCAGTGCACAAGGGATAACTGCTTGAGGTTGGTCACACATGACCTTTTTGTGAGTAATTTTCGTGCTAGCTCTGTACATGGTGAACCTTACCGCCGGAGACGGATATTCGTGGGATAAGGCGATGTGTGCATTTTTAGGGTCGACGTTTTCTAACCCCACCCCTCCTTGTGGAAAGGTAGTCTTGCTGTTATAATGGTTGTCTGAATAAAACATCTTACTACCGTCACACCTCTGTACAGTCAGCAGTACGACTTCACCTTCGGACCTTGGGTTTGTTTCTTTTAGTTTTACCGCTCTTCAACCGACCTGTCTGACATGGTAGGATTTTGAGGAACGATCGTTCTAATGTAGCCAGCCAATGTAGCTCGGTTGGTTCATCACGATCGGGAAGCCTGACTACCACGTCAAGGTAGCAACAACGGTCAGGATGACTTCAAGAACTAATGCCATAGTTTGATTTAGTCATCCCTATTTGATCCCTTTCTCCTTTTCTATGGAGTTTATCTCTATTCGACCAATGTCTATTAAAATAGTAGTTTACTGTAAAATGTTTACACTTATTTTGATGTATTTGAATTTCATTTTGACAGATACTTAATTGAGCTTGACAATACAACTTCTCTTACTAAAACTCCAATTTTCACACCTACAAAATTACAAAATCCAACGGTTGTTTTAGATCAATTTCATACTAAAGAAACAACCTATCAGTTAACTAATAATGATGTTAATAATAAAGAAGATACTACTCCGAAAGTTACAGTAAAATCACGTAAAACACGTGATCAACATCCTCATCATGAAATCTCTACTCATTCTTCACAACAAACCACAGAATCTATTCTTGATCATTTAGATCGTCTTCATCAAGAACGTAATCATCATCATTATCATCATCCATATCAACCAATTGATATGGATGATTTTGATGATAATTCATCTGTAACAAGTTCTATGACTGATTCATCAGAAACTGTACGTCGATCAACTAGACGTGTTAGACCACCGAAACGTTATGATTCTTCAGCTGTTTAGTAATCACTTAAATACCATACATTGTAATCATATATTCTGAAACTGGTTTTTTTGTGTGGAGAATCTTTGTAAAAAAAAAATAAAAAAAAAAGTAAGACAATATGTTTTTGTGAAGTTTTGTTTTAATGGTTCAATGTTGAGGGGGGAAAATATTGATTATTTGTTACCTTATGTGTTTATATGTAATTCATATTCATTGGAACATGTAAATTGGATAGAAGTGTTATTGTACTGTGCATTTTGTTGTACAGTGTACTTTTTGTTTGTTTTTAAATTAAAATGAATTTATTCTTAAGAAAATTGTTTAAATGGATTAGAATGTTTGGATTGTTTCGTCTATTGTTGAATAGTTGTTGATTTCATGAAAATCAGTAGGATTGATCATTGTGTCATTTCTTTTTGTGGAACCAGTTGTGTTAAATGATTTGTAACCGTCTATCAAACAAATGACGGGTTTATTGCGCAGCAATTCATTCTGTCCTACTTTATGGCAGTGAAATATAGCCGGTAAGAGTAGAAGATATTCGTAGGTTACTAGTATTCGATCATAGATGTCTTCGAAACATTGCTCGTATATCCTGGGACCACCGAGTACGTAATGTAGTTGTTAAGAAACGGGTACTAGGTAAGGATGACAAATCAATTGCTGAAGTAGTGAAACTTCATCAGTTGAGATGACTGGGACATGCGTTATGTATGCCAACCACCGACTGCCCCGACATGCGATGTTTTATGGTGTAGGAGTAGGTTGGAAGAAAGTTAGGGGTGGCCAGACCAAAACATGGCACAAATCCATGAAGTCACTGACAAATGGACTGAGCAATTTTGGTAAGTATAGACTACCTGGTTGGGATCTGCGAGACTATATAAACCGATGGTTAGAGACTTTGATTGACGCAAATGGCGCAGGTGCATCCACTCTTTGTGCTCTCCCAAATTCTAATCTTCTCAGTTCTTCATGTCCCTTTCTTTTTATCTCTTTTCAAATTTATTTCACTGGATTATACTCTTTGAATAACATCTTCAAACCCTAATGTTTCCGATTACTGCTTATACTCTTACTACCTCTACCACTGTTGGATTTGAATAAACAATAGTATCGGTGTGCTAATATGATATGGCAACTTGAACTGATGTACGTACGAAGTTCTACGTTGTTACTGACTGGTTGAGCTGGTATAAGAGTAAGTTGTAGGAAAGCCGGGAAAGAAGACAAAACAATACATAGTATCAATCAATAAAGTCATTGAATGTTAGTCTGAACCATTTTCGTAAATGAAAACTATCTGGTTATACAGTCCACGCGCTTATTGTGGCTAGTAGTTGAAGACTTTAGGTGATATAACTCAGTATTGGTCATAATGGCTTAGATCCATCCGTTCATCATTTTCCTCTTGATGCTAGTTTCCAGTGTTCGTACATACATATCTTTCCCTTCTGTCTTCTCGAATCACATTGTCAATGTCTTTCTCACAACTGTGTTACTAAATTATTCTTTCGCTACTCACCTTATTGCGTTGATATGGTACGTCAGTTTGAATTAACGAAGATTTGTGATAGCTTCTACTTTGATTATAACCTGTTATCTCTCGTGGAGAAGCATAGGCCGCTCACCACCATTCTTCGCCTGTAGTTCTTTTAGGGCTATTGCCGGTCCCAAGCCCGGGTAAAGGAAGAGGGTTGGGTGTGTGGTGGGCAACCACATCTCGTAGGAAAAAAATGCTAACCAGAAGCTCAAGGTAGCTTTAATGTTATATTTAAAATGTCCATTGATTAAAAGGTAAAAGTCGATAGTTCGGTATGGTAGATGTATTAGTTGTGATAAGAATAATTAAGGATCAAATCAACGGTTCACAATAGTCATAAGTGAATCAAAGACTTGGAAGAATAGAAATTGAGATAACATTTAATAAAGTTATTAAGCGTACGCAATATTGTGTGTTCGAATAAGTACACAGTAAAGAGTATATTCGAAAGGAAGTAAAAAAAGCAAATCCACGAGGGTTATGAGAAATAATTATAAGTAAAATCGTTTTCTTAGCCTAATTCATTCAGTCATAGAAGATATAATCGTGTTACAAATATTTTTATGGGTACAAAGACGGGGTGTTAGCTCGAACTCCTATACTTTCTGTTATATATAAGGGACGAGAAAGAACCCAATAAGGACAATTATTAAGTATGTGGTATGTTACTGTAAAAGATTTAGTTCTGTCTACTTCGTGACCACTACTGATTAAGTGTGATAGAATTGAACTGAGTTCTGACCATATCATTTTCCCAACTACGAGATGTTTTAACTAACTCCGTTCAGTTTCATGTCACTATGCTCGTTACAGCTCTCTGCACCGCATCATCTGAAGTCTTAGATGCATGTGAATGTAACAAGATTAGTTAACTTATCCCTTAATTGAGGAGATGATAAATAGAGGACATAAAAGTTCTTCACTGCTTGAGTTGGTCCATCAAGTAGGAAGTTTTTTAATGTTTAATTAAGAATTATCAATTTTGACAATATGTAAGACATCAATACTACGTAGTCACATTTACATCTATATGTTAGTTTCATTGTCCAAATGCCCTGGTACGGCTGAGAATGAGGAGGGTTAGCTCTCCCTCTCGACATGCTCTCATATGGTCACGTGCATACGACCACTGCCACAAAAGTCCGACTCGCGGTTGGTATGTTGTTTACGAAACCGAAAGGACAAAACCCGGTGTCTGGCTCTCTAACCGGGATGTTGGATACGGAGGATTCACCTAGAGGAGTTTGAAAACCCTGATTTCAAACTAATAGTGCACATGGGTTCTAGAATTCTGGGAGAACGAATGGCGTATGAACCTAATGTTAGCCACCGCCCACCATGAGACTGTATCTCCTAACGTTGCTCCACTACCTTGTGGATCAAACCTTCAGGTTGAAGGCTCCGGGTGTGACCTTCTAAGAAAACCACCTGCTTCGGTTTAGGCCCCCGGGCAGTATCACAGCCCTCACACATATCGAATGTGATTTATGTGTCGCATTTGTATTTGATGCCTTCTTGTACTAATATCTATGTGTTGAAATAAATAATAAATAAACTATCAAACATGATTTCTTTTTGTTGAGTTCTGTTTTTATTCAATGTACGTCGTCTGATATAGTAAATAACGACTTAAGCTATTATACCTAATCAGAAAATAAACCATACTATTTCAATGATAATGAAAAGTCTGATATTCACAATATGATAGTTGAAACTTTCATATGGTACAATAATATATTCTAGTTGCCTAGATTGGATACCATACATTTTATAACAGAAATTACTGTCTTAAAATAAGAAATGGAGACAAAATCGTGTATGGAGTTATTTAGCAATAATGGAATAACAATTATTTCTTCGGATTCATAATTCCATCCAATTGAGCCTAGAAATTGAAAAAAAATAGTCGATAGGCTACATTCAAGCCACCACATGAGAAGTGTTTTTATCAAACAAATGAAATACAAAATATGATCCACATTGTGGTATATAAATCAAATAACAATGCTTCTTTGCCAAGAACATATTCATTATTTTTAGTCATTATAATGTGATTAACTTTATCCTCGGAATCAAATTCACTAATGGTTACTGTGGTATGTACTACTGGTGTTGATAGATAGAAGTAGTATGTATCATCAATCAAAAGTGAAACATCTGGTACTAGACAGTTAAGAAGATCGAAAAGAAGAGAACGAGAACAAAGAGTACTTGGTATGGAAAGGAGGGAACAATCAACTTTGAGACAACGAACTGATATTTTGCAAATTGAAGTATTTACTGTATGGTTCACAGATTTTACTAAAAGATTCTGTAATGTTGTGTTCAAATACATTCGATTGTCCTCACATATGTTCTCGTCCCCTGAATTACTACTATTCAATAAGCAAGTAAATGTATCAACTACTTGATAAGTAGCTGATGTATACGAGAATGAGAAAGGCCTAACAAATGTTAGAGCAATCTTTATCTAAATGTATATGAAATACATCGTATTTCTTTCTATACTATTAACTACTAATCTATGTAGAGATGATGTTTGAACGAATTGAGTTGCTTTGATATTGTAGAATAGAAGTCTGACTATTATATCTCAACAATAAATACTGTAAAGAATACATCATATTCCTTATTCATCATTTTGATAATCCATTAATAAGATGTAAAACAATGATTACATACATTGTCAATTTAGATTAACTAACCTTTAGTTGTTGATTATTACGTTTTAAAAATTGTATTTCATCTTGATGTTTCTTTTCTTCTAATTGTCTTTGTTCTGCTGCACGTTTTTCAATCTGTTCACACTTGGTTTTTAATTCATATACTTGTCTTTCTAAATCTTTCTTCTCTTGTTCCAAATCACTAATCTATAAATAATATTAATCTAAAAAATTATCAATGACTACAAATGCTTGTAATGAATTCCTGGGTATTTTCTTTTATTTATTTATTTTAACACATAGATATTGATACAAGGAGGCACCAAATTCATATGCGCCACACAGATCTCATTTGATATGTGTGAGGGATGTGATACTGCCCGGGTGCTTTAACCGAATTTGGTGGTTTTCTTAAAGGGCCGCACTCGGAGCCTTCAACCTGAAGGTCTGATCCACAAGGTAGTGGAGCAACGTAAGGAGATGCAGTTCCATGGTAGTCGGTGACCAACGATTGGTTCATACGCCATTTGTTCCTTCAGGATACTGGAACCTATGTGCACCATTAGTTTGAAATCAGAGTTTTCCAACTCCCCTAGGTGAACTCCCCATGTCCACCAACCCGGTTAAAGCGCCGAACATTAGCTTTTCGTCCTCTCAATTTCGTAAACAACACCCTTGGTGCGAGAAGGCAGTGAGTAGGATTTCCCTGGCAGATGCTATATACGCGTGGCCATGTGAGAACATTTCGAGAGGAAGAGCCGTACTAGGGAATTTGGGGGCATATATATCATCAGTGATTTTAAATTTCTACTTAATTCTCAAGCAGAGAAAGACTTATAAGTACATTGGTTCGATTCTCCAACCATTATTTGACATCCACGTCTATCACTAATTATCCTCATGGAGATTTCACTATGTTGTAAAGAATTTGGTGTTAATGTCGATTAAATTTTCGCAGGATCTAATGACACTGATCCACCATGTATAAGCTCAGAAGTGTGTTAATGCTATTCACACCTTATTTAAAACTACTAAAGTAATAATATATTAGGAAAGCATATTAATAAATGACAATATGTAGTACAGTCGCGTAAAAAAGCTAATGGCAGTGGAGTTTAGTAGCTTAGTTCAAGTAAAAGCTCTTGGAATCTGCCATGATTCTTGATCGTGTTTAGTGAACTTAAGTGCTCCAAACTTTAAATCTATCAACAGATAAAGAAGACTAGATGATCTACCTTGGACTGCGAATGAGCGAAACATATTGTGAATACAGACAGATTACTGAATATGGATTACTTATTTTAACGTCAAGACCACCTTTGTTTGATATACTTTCAGTAGATAAAAGATTTGCTCAAAATATGCCGTGTCTATCAAGTTCGCTTGAAAAATAAGCGTTTTTCAGTCAAAGATACTATTCCTCATCAGCTAGAACCTGGTATGTTCTTTCCCACAGTAGGCCGTTGCTGATGATATCCGATCAACGGATATTGAATGTCTTGCGCAGACAACTATCTATAAATACTTATACTCTCTTGATGATGGTTGTAGTAGTTCTCCAGGTTTCAGTTTCGTAAACTGGGAATGTCTTGATATTTGTGAACTACGGTTATTGTTATCGTATCTATTCTTAAAGCTATAATTCTTTCTAAGTCAATTCAATTTTAGAAGAGACGCAAACACCACGTTCAGTCAGACATAAGTAACATAGGACTCGAGACATATGTTGGCCGGGTTAAGCTGCTACACCACTCCAATACTTGGATTAAATTGCAGAAGGCTTGAATGTCTACGTAAGTTTGCAGAATTCCCAGTAAAATGGGGTCCAAGTATTGCAGTAAGAGTGTCAACCAAGTGTCCCGATGTCAACTTTGAGTAGTTCGTGTTCCTGTGTATTTGTAGACCATGGAAATAAGACACCCTAGCTTGAAGCTGAAAATATGCTTCAATGAGTAGTTTCACGAAATACTTATTTTGTTATAAAACTACAACCAAGACTAAAAATAGATAGTTGAAATACGAGATTGTTATTTTTTAATTAAACAGTAAACAAATCTCTGATATTCGTGAAATTGGTAAACTGGTGCTGATTTGACTGAGTTCACTCAACCATGAATATGTAGGTGGTTAACCACTGTTTCGATACAAACTTGTTTTAACCAAGACACACTATTTAAAAATATATAGAAGTTTTAATATAGGTATATCTTACCATTCGTTCCATGTCAGCTTTCCCTTGTTCAGATTGAAGAGCTTTACGCATGCCGAATGCTATGCTTGATTCATAAAGTGTCTGGTATGCTGCTATTGTCATTCTTATCTCGTCACGGACGCGAAGGAGAAGCAAACCCCGTTCAGCGCAGTTAATAGTCACTTGTCTTATTAGTTCGTCAAATACCTGAGAAATATTCCATCTTAAAGAGCGTTTTTGTTACTTGATTGTATAGTTCTCTGCGGACTGGGCATATTCCAGTTTCTCTAGCTTGACGCTGTTGCAATCGTCTATCGAGCTCTTCCTGTAAATTAACAACGTCAAGTCGTGTTGCTGGTGTGCTTGAAGCACGTTGAATCCATAACTGACCGTTTTCACTCCACTCCCTTTATAATGTGATGCATAATTTTCAGATCTACCTTGGCGGAAGAATCGAATTCAAAATTTCTTCTGTTTGTTGGTTGCTTTTAGCTTCAACTAAGGATGTCTTTCCCCTGGGTGAAACGCAAGGTTTGTTTGAAGAGTCTGTAACTTGATGAGTTCCCTTTAACGTAGGTGCCTGAAAAAAAGTCTAAAACTTTCTATTTTTAAGCTACCCCGGGAGATTTTTTATCTGAATTTTTAGTAATAAGTAACGGATTGTCATATTTTATCAAAGAAACATTCAGTGGCATCATGTTCCTATTTGTCTGTGTCTATTCGTAAGGTACTTTGTATGCCGAGGAAATGTGCACAATTTTATGTGATAACAGCTGTAATATATAAGAAAAGAGAAAGAGTTAACCCATGACTCAGTGAGCACGCAGAGAAAACCTAAATTTAATAAGCAAAGCTATATATGGTAAACATCAATATTATAGAAATAAGACCAAGACAATTTTTATTCAGAATTTAATGTGCTAACGAGAGATTACTAATTTATGATAAAGTCAAAAGTGGAGTTATGGAAACGCTACATTCGAATGGTTAAAACAATTTACAAAGCAAGTATAAGTACAGTACATTGACAAAACGAGGCTACTTATTATCCAAACAGAAAGCGTAATTTATATACAGAAGAACCAATAACAAATAGCAGTGTGATTGCAAAGGTTAAATAAGTTTGAGTAAAAAAACAGAAATGTATTTTGTAATACTGCATAAAGTAAAATAAATTTTAATATTACTAACATAGTTAAGGTACCAAAATAAAGCCCTCGTGCTCAGATGAATCTGAAATCAGCAAGTATATAAGAAATGCTAACGATGGCGTTTGAAGTTCGACTGCTACAGAGTAACAACAGTAATATTAATACAACAGACTAATATCATTGGGTTTGCTTCTTGTTATCATAGTGCCGTTCTGGGTATCTAGTAATGTTCAGTTGATGATAGTCTAGACTTTTGACTACACTAATTCTAGTAGGTTTGGTAGTCAATTGTGGATATGTACATCTTGCAATTTGATTGAGTTCGCTTGTCTCAGAAGAGTAAGATTTCTTGATACCAGCAGCTGTCACATTACCAGGCAAGAAACTGGATTGTTGCAATGTAAGGATAGTAAAGTAATAATTTGAGTGCGAAGAGAAGACGACGACTCCAAGGAGGAATAACTAATTGGTAAGGTGTAAGAAGACGGAGCCGAAAGGATGAGAGGGGAAACGGAGATGATAACAAAGGAAATGGAAAGTGGTCACTGATGTATGGTAATGATAACCGCGGCAAGTTGTAGGACATGCATCAGACACAGCTGGCCGAAGAGGGAGATGGTAATGCATGGGTTAGTGCTTGCCAAGTCTCCTCTAAAAGCCATGTACTGAGGGGGTGATAGTCACTTCGTATGGGAAAGCACTCCAAATGAGGGCGACTAATGGTGATAAAAGGCGAGAGTGTATCTAGGTGTTCGCCCTTTGATGTGCAATCTTCCGAGGGTTGCCTCAAGGGGCTTAATGACGATGTTATTGCTAGCATCCTCCATTCCTTTCCTATCTCATGGCGTCATACACATATTCAGTCAGTTCTGTACTTCTAATGGCTGCAACACGTCGCTCATTAAATCACTCAGAAGTGGTTATATTCTGCTTGCTGAAGCTTTGTGGTAGAGTTTTCAACTCTCCAAACAGAAGTATTAGGTTAGAATCCACATGATGTAGCTCTAGCACCCCTTGTATTATCCCATCTTCCGGGAGTTAGAAGATGTGGGGGCCGACATGTCTCTACAATCAAGTACTTTCAGCCGTTCTCATCAAAGCAACATCGGTATAATTTTATCACTTCAGTTAGTTCACCACTGTGTTATCATAACTTTGAGGTGACTGTTAATGTATATCGCCGCTACATGCGTTTTGCGTATCTCATCGTATCTGGGAGTTGTCATGCCTTGAATGCTCACTTCTTCCTCCATGATTTTTAGCTACAGATGCGTTCTAAATAGGACTTTATCATTGATCATTTATTCTTGAAACACCGACCAGCGACGATCCGTAAGACGTTAAGCGAGAACACCAAGACTTTTACAAGTGGAGGTATGTTCACCTCGAAGACATGACAACAACTGTATTGACGAATACACCGAATTCTATATTGATTTGTACACTCATTTGATTTTTGATTACGAAAAAGTTACATGTATAAAAAAATTCTCCGAAATGTAACAAAACCACATACCACATTTCACGCTGAAAGTAGTTCACGTTAATTCAATGCAAAAAATATAATTTTTAGAATAAGCATCACACTGAAATTAACACATATATTAAATTGAAAAATCATCATATAGAAGTGAAAAATTACTGTCAAACAAGTATAGCAATGAGTTAAAAATATAACGTCGTCATTTAGTACTGACACATCACCTCGCTATTTTTAAAGGATTATAAGAAAGGTTTTCCAACGGTTTCCACCCGCCATCTCATATAACTACAAACGTTTGGAAGGAGAAAAATGCTCATGATTGGACATATTATTCGTACTTGTAGTTACAGCGCAAATACTGGTCTCAAAGCTATTACTGTGCATACTACCCAATAAAGAGGAAGTAAAATGTGGGACAATTTAAGGTACAAGTATGCCAGACGAATGTTTTGAAGAAGGAAAATAATAAATATAGGTGAACATGTGCTACATGATAGTGAACACTTTACTGATGCAAATATAATCGATCTGGTTCTCCGTGAAGTGGTCCAGTTGTATCCATGTAACTTTGTGCATGCGTTTATGTCACCTATAACCATTTTGTTGAGCGTATATAAATTTGCAAGTCTCTCTCCATTCTCGATCCTTTTTCTCAGTCCATCTCGTCTTATGAGATATTTACACTCGTGTTATTCACTCTCACTTTGGCGTTTAGGTCCCACATCAAGATGGTCAAGTGCTTTCCTTAGCACTTTGTAATGATTGATTGCAGTCTGTCGTCGTTGTTATAACACTGGACAATGTTATAGTGACTCCACCCTCTTATTTTTGAATGGTATTTTGATGATCCTGTATCCGTGACATTTTCATCCTATGGGTGTTTTACGCGCCTCTATAGACAGCATTAGAGGAACCTCCTGGTTGTGCGCAGCGTGTTCCTCGTAAACGGAGTAAAGCAGCAGCGCTTCCGAATCTATCCCTTATTGTCCAGCTTGGGTCCAATGTGTTCTACTGGTTTCGAGCACCGCCAATTTGTATCTTTCCGTCTTTGTAGCTGTTTGACTGGTCTACCCGGAATTCAAAAATGTCCGGATGTTCCATGTACTTAAAGTATTATTTGCTCTGGTTATTATAAGGGCAATTAGCCTCATAGCTTCCAAAAGAACTATGGTTCTCACTATAGGCGCCATAACTTTTCTAAATACAGACTCGTCAATTTCAAACACTGAATTTATATGGATGATCTATAAAGATTAGGGTTATTAACCACGCAACCAGTTGTATACAGTTGTCCGGCGTAGCGAGCGACAGTAGATCAAGAAAAGCTGGTCGAATGGATTTGATAAAAGAATAGCTTTCACCACACACTTGTAGTACTTGAGGAAGATTTCGTCGAATGGTGAGAGATAAACATAAGTCCCATAGTTGGCGAGTCCGTGGTAACATCAACTCCTAAAGTCACCATCCTGGAAGCTAACTGAGAAGACTTACATTGAACGCTCAACACTTGGGAGACGTGAACATGGAAATATGTGGTTGGGACACCGTGGTTCAGTAATACAGGTGTGGCCACCTTTTGCTTTCTGTGATGAATACATAATTCTATCCCCAGCCCAAATATGTTCTTTAGGGTTCACATCAAGTACACTACCTACTGTCATGGTAAAAAGAGTTAGTGTAGACGATGATGTGACTTCTATGTAAGATCTTATGAACTAAATAGTCATATCATAGCGACTTCACAGTATAAGATTATTTTTATTATTCCATCCATAAAGCGGTTCAGGAGAGATCTAAATTGAGCAAGCGTTCGACGTGACCGGATATCTAATGGCAACCTATTCCAGAGGTTTGCATAACGTGTGACAAACAAAGTTAACATTAATTTAGCTGATTTTTTCGATATCTTCAGCACAAAATCCTGATTTTGAAGACTGGAACTACTACTTTTGGCAAATGCTAAAGTTTCATAACTTACCGTAGTTTTATGTGATATTTCAAAATTTTAAAGTGAGGTTAAGTTTAACCCGTTTTGACCGCAACTGATGCGGTTTCCATGCTTCTCATTTATGCCTATATCGTAGGTCGGACGTGAAAAATCTTGCAAAATGAAGTTGTACCTTCTCAGTTTCTAGCTGGTCAATGGAACGCATGTAACTTAATATAGTTGGGAAGTATTCCAGTAGAGGCTAAACACGTATCTTGTATGGTGTTATTTTCGATTCCTTCAAGTGAAAATTGCGGTCGACGAACCCAATAAGTCTGCTGACTTTTAGCATTTGCGGTTTAGCCCTTTCGGTGAATGAAAGACTTTTGGAGTATTTCACTTCAACTTGTCCGGGTGCTTATTGGTGGGTTGGACGTGTCGAAATACATGTACTCAGATTTTTTCGTGCTAAGAGAGAAGCCAGGTATCACATCGGTTTTTGAGTTGGTCCAGATCTTTTTGTATCATACGTCTGACATTTAAACTGGGACGTGGGTGGAATATACATACCACTTTAAGGTCGTCGGCAAACAGAAAGGTACAGCCAACTGTAAAGTCATTGAGTATGTCGTTAACCTATATGATGAACAATAGGGTTCCAATAACTGTTTATTATACAATATGTTATTCTGGGTGACATATTACTCATGACGTTTTGGAAATAAATCTTAGTAGTAACGTCGTTTGTGTTGCACATGGATGTGACGGAGGGGTAACCCAAGTTAGGTGCTAATCATTAGATGTGACTTTATGTTGGCTGGTTGATCATGCCATTCCTGTCTAACTTGAGTAAGCTCTCAGTCATTCGACACAGATCATCATTTTTGGTTATTTATTCTCTGAAGAAGTGACTTAAACTAAGTCACGAAACGTCAGAAAACTCATTTTTCTACTCATTGGGATATTACAAATATATTATTTTTATTTACAGATCATCTGCGTTAGTGATCTTTATACTCAACAAAATGTTCTGTTGCTGACATAAAACAAGAGACTGTTTAGGCACCTGTCCCCAGTCACTGTGACCTAATGAGAGGTTATTCGTTTTACATATTCTTGTGAGTTTCTACAGGCCAGACACATGGTCAACTGCACCTAGTTGACACGGAACCAAACCTCCACTCATGCCAACGAAACTGTCCAGATCTCCTGGACGTTTGTGGTCTGCTCCTGTTTTATGATCTGAATGCACTTTTGCGATAGTCTCTGTGAAACTTTAAACACTTGCGATGAGTTCTGCTATGACTGGTGCTTTTGACGATTAATAGTTTTGTGCGTATTTTATCATAAGTGGTCCAGTTAGAGGACTCCTTTCATTATTCTGTCTGTGATATGTG